GTCCTATCAAATTGGAATGAAATAATTAATAAAAAATTTTACCATTTATTATTTATTATTATTATCAAAAATTTTATTCTTTTCCTTTTTTTTTGATTATTGTTAAATTATTATTAATCTAATAATTATTAATCTAATATTTATTTATATATTTATTTATAATATTTATTTATATATTTTCTAATATTTTTAATGCTTTTCGGAGTTTATAAATTTTTTTTGGATTCTCGATTATTGTAAAACAGTAAATTATGCTAAATCTCGACTGATTTATAGAAATATTCATTTCATCTGAATCTTTTTATATTACAAAATCGTAGTTTTTTTTATTTCGTAGATTAACATCAAAAAAATTTTTAGAAAAAAAATAATATTTCCATTGAATGAACGAAGAAATGTTATCTAATAGAATAATAAAATATAAAATTTATTATTAAATAAATAAAAGAACTTATAGGATTAAAATTCTTTTTAAAAATTATATAAAACGATGATTTTTGCAAAGTTTACACGGAATTTTTTCCCGTTTTTTTTTATGCGATTAATTCAGCTGATTTGATAAGTTTATTCAAAAAAATATTGAATGATGAAGAGCTTTCATATTTGATGATTGATTACTCAATTTTTGGGTTATTTTGTAAAGAAATAAATGAATTACAAATTGAATTCGCCAATAATAAGCGATTAAAAAAAAAAGGAGAGAGAGAAAAGTTGACAAAAGCTTGGCCATCCATCAATTACATATTTCACTACAGAAACCTAAAATCATTTATGCGAAACGGATTATCTTCATCACTTGCACTTTTATCTCTTTTTTTTTTCTGCAAATTTTATTATATATCGACTATATAATAGGTTTTATTCTTTTAGCACTTGTGTGTTCTTATCATTTTATCACATTGCAAATTTTATTCTATCTGATGTGAAAGCATAAAGTTAGAAAACCCATGAGATTATTTTATTAGAGTTTGCCATGATATTAAAATACTAATAAAATAATGCAAAATACTGCAAAAATGACCATTTTGATGAAATTACCATTCAAAATAACCAAGATGATATTCTTCTATGCTTATTCTATCAACAATCACCATTTTTGCATCATTTGGTTGCCTGCACGAATTGTTAGGAACTGTTCAATTGATTTCATCAAAGAAATAGGATTAAAATGCCGACAGTTATCTGAATTCAGTGGATTTCACTTCTTTTTTTACTTTTATCAAGCAACCGAACTGCATGTCAAAATTCAAGTCAAAATCGAATGTGGCAACGATAGTTGAGTCGTATTTTGCCTTTAGTCTAAACGAATAACGCACGATTTAACCAAAAGTCTCGGTTTCTCATTTTCGATTTCGGATCATAAAATCCTCTAAATGGATAAAAAATAATTTTTCCTATTTTAATTTATTTATTTATATATATATATATTAAAAATGTATTTTTTGATTTCAGCCGCGTTTACTTTATTTATTTCTTTATTCTTTTAATTAAAAACTTTACAAATTTGTTTTTCATCGTTTTTTCCACTTTCTTTATTTTCATTATTTTTTCGGTATTATTTTCGATTTTTGAAATTTAATTGAGCAAAATTCTGAAAAAAATAAAGAAAGATATTTTATGCAAATAATCTTTAATTATATGACTTTGTCTAAATCCTTTTTATCAGAATTCGTTAAGAATTCTTTTTTTTTTTTTTTTGCTCCATTTAAATTAATACAAAAGCTGAATAGAATGATGATGCAATAAAAAAATTTCTGTCTCATAGAAGATTTTCATTGTTTTTAATGAATTCCATTTTCAAATGTCTTTCTATTTGCTACAAAAATTTTACATTTCTAAAAAAAAATTACTTATGTTAATTATGTTTTATTCATAATAATAATTGCTAAAGAAATGAATATATTCGTATTTTCTTAAATATCAGAAATCGGTAAAGTCGTTTCTTCTTCATATTGACAAAACTCATAAATTTTTGGAGTTATATTTTTTTTTAAATTTTTTTGAAAAAAAATAATTAAAAATGAAAAATAATCAAAATTTTAAAAGTATTTTAAATAGATTTATGAAAATTTTTGTAAAATAATAGATTTTTAGTACATCAACTTCAACGAATCTTAATGATATTCCCGATATATTAGCGCAAACACAGCATGGTTGTACGGTTTTAATTGATGGACATACATTACGCGAAGTATTAAATAGTGTTACAAGCCAAGATAGTAAACTTGAAATTATACAAAATTTAATAACACAGGTATTCTTTTTTTCATGCAAATTTTTTTAAATTTCATTAATTTACAAAAAAAAAAAAAAGTATTTGTAAAATGCCATTTGAAGCAATTGTTTAGCAGTGATGAACAATGGAAATATAATAATAATTTTTTTTCTCGGATAATCACTAACAATGTTAGTGATTTTTTTCATAATTTCATTTTTTGTTCTAAGAATAAAGCGTATAGCGTCATTTCAATTTTTTTTCTTATTTTTTGGTGAAAAAGAAAAGTGTTTTACAGAATTCAATAGAAAATTTTGTGCGATAATGATATTTTGAAGTGAACAATAATTTTTAGCATTTTTATCGGTTTTTTTTTAAGAAATTATTGTTTACAATTTTAAAATTCGCTATCCTCTTATGATGAAATTTTTTGCAAATTGACTTATCCTATGACGAGTTCGGTCAATCTTCGGAAATTTTTCCCTCTCAGATCAATTTATAGATGAATTTTTTCTGAAATGTATTTCTGAAATTGCGACATTAATGCAAATTAATATGGCACTTATTTGCATTACTGTACATACTGTAAAAAGCCGTTCAGCAGAGACCAATTTTTTAAAATAGATTTTTATTTGAGAGTGATTGAGAGATTTTCTTGTGTTTACTTTTGTTTTCATAATTTTAATAAATTGTAAAATTAAAAATTGGAAAACCGGAAAGAACCGAAATTGATGAAGCATTAAATAATAATAAATAATAAATTTAAATTATTTTTTGCAGTTAATATCACTTAAAGAACGTTTGTCGTGTGGCGAATTTAGCGACGACAAAGAAATTAAAGAGGAAGAAGTTGTGACAACGCAATTTGATAATAATAATATTAATATTAATAATAATAATATTAATATAAATAATAAAATAGAACCGTTACAAGTATGCTTATTTGCTTTATATGTGTTTAATATGTTGAAAAGGAGGAGCTTTTATATTTATGAAAAAATCTCTAATTAATGAAATAGACACATAAGAGTTGTGATGATGCTTTCAATTGTCGTCAGTTTTGATTTATATTCATTTATTGCTTATGAAAAAAATAAATAAATTGAAATAAATTTTATTTACTTCAATAGTTAAATTTAATATTTGAATAGATTTTGGTAAATTTAAATTTCAATATATTTCAATTTTCTATAATATTTATAAAGAAATATTTTTAAAAAATATTTTAAAAATTTTTTTATTTTAAAAATTAAAAGTATTAAAATGATATGTTTCTTATTTGTGCAAAAATTTGATTAAAAAAATATTAAAATTATTTTACTTAAAATATTAATAATAAATTCAAAAATATAAAAATTTCTATTATAAAAATATTAATAGAATGTATTTTTTTTCTTGATTTTTCTTAAATATTTATCATAAATCAGAGTTAAATTTAACAAATATATTTTAATTTATAATTTTATTAAATAAATCTTTTATTTTTTGCATTCATGAAAAAAAAAGAAAAATAATTGAAGGAAATGTCATCGGGGAATAATTTGGATGAGCTATTATTGAGACAACAACAATATTTAATACAACAACAAAATCATCAACGATTACTCGCAATGGCTTCTGCTATTCAAGTTGCTCAAAATTCTCAACATCTTGGATTAATTCTTCCATCGTGTAATTTTTTTTTTTTATTTACTTACCTAAATATTTTATTTCATTTTTATGGTAATTTCTAATAATAATTAATTGATTGAGTATAACTGCTAATTTCTTAATAAATATTGCATAATCGAAGAAAGGAAAACCATTTATGGTTTATGGCTTAAATGTTGTTTTATGGAGGAAATTTTGTCGGCTATGAACAACCTTTTAATTATAGTAATAGCGCTTTAAATTAATAGTATTATTAAAAATTGCCACTGAAACAATAATAATGGATGGAAATCTTCTATATAAAAAAAAGATCGCTTAAGTCACTTTACTCTTTCACCAAAAATAGTTCAAATATTTCAAGAAAATTTTTTTATTTCTAATGAAAAAATTTATTTCTAATAAAAAAAATAGTTAAAAACATGCTTGTCATCATTCTCATTATATTTTCTTTTTTGATTTATTTTTAAAAAAAAATTTTAATTTACCTAAAGAAAAAAAATTTACGAAAGATCTAATGGCAAAATCTTTATAGTCTTATCATAACTATTAACTATTAGCAGAAAATTATTTATCAGTTTTATTAAAATATTGTTGCTATTTTTCAAGCAGTTAGTGACATCTGATCAAATAAAATTATTTCATTAGATAGTGCGTATTATTAAATTCATAAACGCGCAATATACGAGTAATAATATTGATAAATTTCGAAATTGTGCATTAAAATACACACTAAGGCACAGAATTTGTTTACACATTATTGGCTTTATTCGTGATAATAGTGATAATAAAATATCAAAACTCATAACTAATAGTAAAAATATTTAATAGTAAATAATGATATACGATTTTTCTGTAATTAAAACCTAAACCTATACCTCAATATATATATATATATATTTTTACAGAAATCGAGATTAGACTGGTTGAGTGGATTATTGTTCAATTCAGGGTGGGGTTCTATTCCTTGCAAGAGTAAACCTGTATAAAAATCCGGTGATGCTGCATTTCTATCTCCAAGGGACTCCTTGGCACATTTGCCTAGTACGAGAAGTCAGTAGAGCGAGGCTAACCAGTGATAAGGCCTTTTTAAAAAAATACAATTATAAAATATATATAAAATAATGAAACTTTTTAAAAATCTTTTAAAAAACTTGCTAAAATTTTAGCAGCACCCTATGAACAATTCTTTAATAATTCTTTATTGGCGCATCGTTCAACTAATGGAATACCTTCATCAGCTTTATCACAAAATTTTCCACTGAACGTTACACCAGCACCAACACAGCGAATAATACGACCTTCATCTGCTGATAAAACTAATGAATCTCCATTAAATTTAAGCAAAGCTAATTCGGAAAGGTAAGAAAATTTTCTATTTTCCATGGATGTAATCATATTAGTGAAATGGCAATAAACTATGAACATATGAACATGAACATAATTTAAATAGAATTCGTGGAGCAGGCATTTGATTCAATGAAATTCGTTTTGCTTTTAATTTTATAAGATTAATTACAAATAGTTTTATACGAATGCCTAAATCCTTTGATGCCAATGATAGAATTATTGTTGAAACAATTTTTATTATGAAAATATTTAATATTTCTTAATTTTAAACGTACTTAATTTTAGTCCAGCAGATGCTTCAAATTCGCAAATATCAATTCGTAATGCAAAAAATCCGACTCCCCCGTTAATTTCTTCAGCACAAATGCTTGCACGTTTCCCATACAATTCGATACCTTTTGCTTCCGAAAGTATACATTTTATAATTTTGTATTCTGTGATTATAATTATATATTCCCTTCGTTCCTTTATTATTCCCTTTTTATTTCTTTAGTTGGTAAAAAATATGATCTCATTGACTAAAAATTTGATCTTATTATTCCCACAATATTAAAATTTTTTCAAGAATCTGAAGAGTACAAAAAGTTGAGGTTTCTGAAAAAATTGATCTCGATCGTTTTTTTTTTAGCATCAGCATTTACAAGCCATTCACCTGCGTCATCTGATAAAACATCGCCTGGCGCAGGGATAAGCAATGATAATGGATCACTTCGTCTAACTGCAAAATCACCGAATCACATAAAACGGCCGATGAACGCATTTATGGTTTGGGCTCGAGATGAACGAAGAAAAATTCTCAAATCTTGTCCAGATATGCATAATAGCAACATTTCGAAAATTCTCGGTTACAAAATTAGTTTATAAAATTCTCCACCATAACAAATTATTAAGCAATATTTTTAAATTTGATTAACTTTTGGTGATTTATTTATTTGATTGATTCTTAATGATAATTTTATATTCGATTATTAGGATCACGTTGGAAAGCAATGTCGAACACAGAAAAACAGCCATATTATGAAGAACAATCGAGGTTGAGCAAACTTCATATGGAACAACATCCGGATTATCGTTATAGGTTAAATTATCATATTAATATTTCACGAACGTACATATCAATCAAAAGCCTAATGATAAAGAAATAAATGATTAAATGATTATAGAGAGTTTAAGCTTCAAAGATAACTTTAAAAATTAGAAACTATAAAATATAAAATTTTATATATAAAATTTTTTCTGGCGTGTATCCACCAATCGTTTAATGTTTTTGATGTGGCTGTACTGAAAAGAAATAATTCATCATTTTTTAACTATACTAATAAAATTAAAATTTGGCTTTGAAAGTTTTAATATTTCAATATTTTTATATTTAATATTTTAATATATTTTAATATTCAATATTTCAGTGAATATAGTCATTCAAATTATATCAACAATTTTAAGTTAAAAATTAAAAAATTAAATTTTGTTAAAGCTGAGAGGAATTAAATAAGATGGAAAAAATCGCTCATTTAACTCATTTAATTCTCTCGAAAATTTTCAGACCAAGGCCAAAGCGAACATGCCTAGTGGATGGTAAAAAAGTGCGTATAAATGAATATAAAAATTTGATGAAAAATAGAGGACGTGCAGGTGGTGGTGGTGACTGGTCAAATGATAGTGTTGGATATAATAATACAGTGGGCTTGGACAAATCTATACCAACAACAACCAATAATGATAGATCAAATTTATTTGTTCCGGTCGATTTCAATGCATTAAGCAGCAAGAATTTATTAACAGACTTATCATCACATCATCATCCTTATCATATTCTTCAAACTGCAGAATAATTAACGAAAAAATTTCTAAATTCTAAATTTATCTGTAATAAATATTGTAAGAATTTTCCTATTCCTGATTTAAAATATCATCTCTCAGGATAAATTGTCGTCGATTCAAAATAGTTCATCCAATTTTTTTCATAGTTGTTTTATTTTATTCCACATTGAAAGTGTAACCTCGTTATAAAAATATATTTTTTTTCTGGAATTTATTGAATTTCTTCGTTTTTTGTTCACTTTTTATATTCCTCTTAATCCGAAATATTTTTCAAATTTCCATTCATTCCAACGATATATTTCTAATTTAAAAATGGTTTAAAAAATATAAATATTGATAGCTATTGTTATCTTTTTTTTATATTATTTTTTGTTTTTTCCTAATTTTATTTTCTTTTTAAATCTAATTTGAGCTATCTTTTGTCTTTTTTTTTTACTCCAGCATACAAAAAACCGCTATAAGGAAAGAAATTAAGCGAAATGCTAAAATTTCGTCCTTTTTTCTTTAATAATAATAATAATAACAATAATAATAATCTATTCAATGAATTTATCATTTCGATAGTCATCATTAATCAGCAAATTTCTAAAAATTTTATAATGCTCAGTAAGATTTAAGAATTTAATAAAAAAATAAATGAAAAAAAACGAATTACTAAACAATCATTCACTCATTCATTCACTCATCTTAAATGTTATTTATTAATATTTTAAAAACTTCAATCGAATATTTTAAGATATAATGAAAATATGCAACTTTTAAAGCGTGAATTTATTTTATTTAATAAATCCATCTATCCATTTAAAAAATATTTAAAAAATATTATTTAAAATTTCAGTTGTATTTAGTTACGATTAGTTGTACAAATTTGTTCTATTCTATACAATAAAATATTATTTGCATTTATCTATTTGAAATTTGTTTAGAAACAAAATTAATACTTCTAAAAGAAAAAGAAAATTTTCTCTTATCATCGAATTAAAGCTATAAATTAAACGAAAATTGTGGAAAAAAAAAAAAAAATAAAAATTTTCTCATCAAATTCACTTAACAAAATGAATAATTATCTATTGTAAACGATGAAATCGAACAAAAAAGTACAAAAATTGCATTAATAGATAATTATCATCGAAACAATGGAAGCACTCTAATTTTTTAATGAGTTTCTGATTAATTTGAAAATTACTAAAAAAAAATTTCCACTTTTTCCAAGTATTTATAGAATAATAAGCTAAAATAAATAATCAATCGAATTCTATAAAATATACTATTCTATAAAATATTTCAAAAATATTTGATTGACAAAAGGTTAAATGGTTTTGTAAAATTTTACGAAATTCTCATAAAAATCTTATACGAAATAATTTTTATTTATAATAATTTAACTGATAAATCATTTTGCATTTTTTAAATAAACTACCACATTATACTTTTTTATCATTTATCTAGACGGGGTTTAATTAAAAAATAAAAATGTGGGTGGCTGTTTTAGAGAATTTTTATGACAAAAGCAAAAGCAAAAGATATTCTGAACGATATTATTTGTTTATAGTTTATAAAAAAGCACGAGTTATTCTTATCCATCTAATAGTTTTACGACAGTAACTCAGCACTATGTTCATATTTCGTTGTTGCTTTATTATAATGTAATATGTTAGTTAATCTTTGGGTCTTTAAATTAATTATCACTTATATTATCATATCATAGTATTGGTAATATTGGTGCGGAAAGTACCAAAAATAAAAAATTTGCTAATCTTTTAGTTAATACATACAGCTTTATAGATATACAGATTATAACTTACTATTTATCTAATTGCCGAAAAGGTTTAAAGGTTTAAGGTTTAAAAATTTCAAAAATTTTTGTATGAGAAAAGAGATCAATATTTATTTACAAATAAGAAGAAATTAAGACAAAAAAATACAAGAATAAATAAAATAGATTGACAAAAATCCTGGATGAGCTTGAAAGTGATTCTTCAGGTGATCCCAATAAGCTTTGTTGTTGCAGCCAAACTTCGAATTGAAATGGCTCCTCTTGAAAATCAGCGATTTCAGTCGGTAATTCATTAACTATATGAATTTTCCAACCCATATTGTATGAAGAATAACTCTGAAATTTTATTTTCTCAATCGGTTAATTATTCGTTACTGTAAGCGTTCGACCTCATTCCTAGGCCTAAAAAACTACCACTGTTGTTGTTGAAAGGACGCTGGAGGTAAAGAAGGACAAAAAGAAAGAATTTAGGACAAGGAGAGCAACTGCAACAACTTTTCATTAAGGATCTAAAAGACACTATTTCTACTTCTTATATTTAGCAGCAACGACAAGAGATAAGGTCCAATGGGACAGCAAGCTGGAGAAATACTGGACAAATTAAAGAAGCCGCAAAAATCCATTAAAATTTTTCCCGTCCACTACTTTAAAATCTTATTTTGCAGAATATGATGAAAAGAATGACGATTATCCCTCTTTATGATTTTTACTTCTTTTAAACGTGTATTTTTGGATTTTTTGGTTTATAGAACGGGATCTTTCAATAAAGGCTAACTTGACCAGGACATAAGTGCTCTCCAAAGGCCACCAACATTTCATTTTCAATGACAGGTTTATTCTTCTAAAGGAGAAAGAATCATGAGAATCATAAGAATCATGAGGAATAAATTTTAATCAATCCATTGAATGATCAAATCCCTTTAATGATTTAATATAAAGCACCTTATTACGAAAATGCTAATCTGAAAATCTAAATCAGTTGAAGAAAAAGAAGTTATTTTTTTTCAAATTTTATTTTATTAACCATAAAATTGATACCTGATAGAATAATATATCCGGTGTTTTATCAGTAGGTGTGAATTGTAGTAAAGCAGATTGCGATGTCGACGAGCATTTTAAATTTAAAGTTTTTCTGTATTCGAAAAAATTTGCATATCTATCTGGATCATCATTTTCGTCTTTTTGCGACCATAAACATAAACGACCGGTCGTTTGATTCGGATTTTGACCAGCCGTTATTTTAATTTGCTATAATTTTTTGTTTATTAAAATTAAAAACATTTTCATTTTTTCACGTCTTACTAACCAAATTATGTGACAATTTATAGATTTTTATTTAAGATAATAATATTAAGATAAATATTTTAATTATGCTGTGGCAGAAGATGAATCATTTTATAGGGTTTTACATCCGCAATTTCGTAGTGTCAAAAGTACTTCGACATTGTCAAGGTCATTTTTGATAATATCTACTTGATTTTTGACATGGTCAAGTTCATTTTCGGTAATTTCAATGCTATTTTTGACAAAATGGTCGAAGAAAATTTTGTCTTTAAAAATTTATATTTCATAAAAACCAAGAATTAACTTCACAAAGATACCCTTGGTCTTTTTAAATTACGGATGAAAATTCTTTCCTTTAAAACCGATAACTGAATTTGATAAAAGCATAGACAGAATAACCGATTAAGATTTCTGGCTAAACACGAACACTGGCTTGTCGAACTTTTACAACGAGTCACTCGAAGACAAAAGGTGAGGCCAGATTTTTGAGAGAATTTTACTTCATAGTTTTTGTGAGTTTCAGTTTACTTCTGTTAGGAATAAAAAATCCTGGACGCATCGGCGCTCAAAAATAATTTATTCAACCATTCTACTCCTTTCGATTGCAGATGAAAAAAATTGCAAACGAGTTGAAATTTGAAAATTTACCTCCTTCTCGTCAGCCGATAATTTTGCATAACCACCAAAAGGATCATCCGCAATATATAGTGGATTATAAAAATCCAGATCAGATTTATCATCGCCACCCTCTATGCTACAAAATTTATTATTTACAAATAAAACAATCACATTTTACAATTCAAACAATTAATGAAAATATTTTTAAAATGAAACTTACATAAACGTATATGTAACACCACGTCTGAGATAAATGTCGGCCATATATCCATTTACATACCAAACATATTTTCCTGGATGTGTTCGAGCCATGAACTGAATCGTTCACATTTTTATATACTTTGCACAAAAAAAAGCGGAATTAAAATGACACATCTTGCACATCTAATATGAAGTTCCAGTCTAACGAAACGAGATTGTATATAAGAATTTTTTTTCTTAAAAAATTTATGATTGTAATGAACGAACGAATATTTTACGTTCATTTCTAATCTTTATTACATTTTCTATTTTCTATAACTATTAGTTGAAATTTTTCAGCGTATACCAACTTCGTATCCTTTTTTACCGCCTGGTGGACCAAGTTGAAAACTGAAGTTTCGGCGACTCTCTGTTCCTAATAATGATATTATAGGCCATCCGTCGATTTTTTCAGTGAACTGAAATTTGTAAATTCGTGAAATAAAGAAACGATGCCGCCTTACGATTATTCCTATAAAATGAATAAAAACCTGATTTTGTGATGGCACATATGGTGGTATTCTCTGCGATATATTGCTTATAGGTATATGACCAAAGTCCACTCGAAATTTATAACAATATATCGATAGCCAATCGATGTGGTTTATGTCATATTCTTCTGGCAAGTCCAATATTATATCCTTACCACCACGGTAACGTTCATTCATTGCTGTGATCCTTTAATAAAATCGGTTACTTTTTTAACAGTGATTCAAAGACACTTTTCCTAGCACTTTATTAACTTTTAATAACGATTTTAGAATTAAACAAACATTTCAGGAGTATCACGACCACGAATTGGTACTTTAATTCCAGCATCATATGCAACATTTGGACCGCGGCCAACGAAGAAATATCCATCTTAAACTATGAAAGATTGTAATGAAATAATGGATATTTTTATTTTATTAAATAAATGTACTTAAAGCGGAAATGGCTATTTAGAAAATTCTCACCTGGAGCTTTGTCACCATCAAAAGTGAATCCAAATATTTTTATGGTTCTTCTATTCATTACTAATATTGGTCCTGAACCCACGTTATATCTGCTGCCTTTTAATTCGTTACCCAGAAATTGAGCCTTTGGTTCAAGGATATTTTCTGGTATTATTATAGTGCCAAAATTTTGCTAAATTTCCAAAATAAAATGAAATTTTTTATTAAAAATTTAAAGATTATCTCCAAGTTGAATTCATAGTATCTTAAAATATATCACTCTAAGATATTTCCAGCACATAATTTCAAAATTTCAAAAATTTGCCCAATTTTCTGTTCAACATTCAAAATTCCTTCAAAAGCCCACTCTCAGTTAGTTGAATGACGAACAAATTTAGTGAATTTTTCTAAAATTAATAAATCTCCATTTAAAATTGAAAAAAAAACCATGGATGGAAAAAAAAATCAGTTGTTCCGTCCGTGTAAAAATTAAATCTTGATGAATAGCTTGATGGACTTCTAATTTTGAATAAAAAAATAAAGAAGGAAATAAAAAATTACTTCATTTTTATGAGAGTATATAGATAAACTTTTAAAAGCGCTAATTTTGTATAATCCTGGTAATATCAGAACAACTCGCTTCACATTTTCATAGTTCCCTAGTGGCGCAACACTGCAATAATTTATAATTAAGCTAATAATTTTTTGGTTTGTTGTTCAAGATTTTCCTTTCAAGATTTATTTATTTTTATTTTTATATGCCATGTTATTTATATATTAGTTAGATTAGATTGGCCTTGGCCTCTCAAAGTACCAAGGTTCAACTATTGTTTCTGGCATGACCAAGCATGGATCATTCAAAAATTCGAGATCTACGCGACCTTTTCAATATTTTTTTCCAAAATAAGGTATTTTTAACTTAATTGATTTGACATAATTGATTTGTATTTAAATTTGACATAATTGATTTGTATTTAAATCATACATAATTGATTTGTATTTAAATCATACATAATATGAGCAGAATGAAAATTAATCACCCGAATTCAAAAGTTGGTACTTTTATGCCACTGTGAGTCGGAATCTCGGAACGATCTAACCAAAAATAGGCGTCTGAAATCATATAACAGCAATAAATAAAAGAATTTTTCGCCTCTCTCAAATTAAAAGATTTATTCCATTAAATTAAATTCAAAATTCAAAAAATTCAAAAATTTTCACTTTAAAAAGAATTTCTTTATAGATTCGATTCTTCGGATCTTTCTTGTAAAGAAAACCAAAAATTCGATTTCTGTTTTTTCCCATTAGATAATAAATTTGTCAATAAATAATTATTAAAATGAGTAAATTAAAAGCGCATATATTGGCCGTTTATTTGCTTTAGATCAAATGTCAACTAAGATATGCCTATAAACGACGAAGAAGGTAAACATATTATTTTTCTCTATCTGACCTTCTGACCTTTGAAATGCGCTAATTTCCCCAATTTGCTAATAATTCAATTCAATACAATATTATGCTATTATTACAATGTACCAAACTAAAATGTGAATATATATCTTATTTAGTAAAAGATAATGCAAAAGAATTATTAAAAATGATCTGCTGAAAAAAAATACCAACAATAATAATAGCGATTCGATTTAAAATGATTAATTTGAACAGAATAAGAAGAGAAAATTTTAAAGAATTCAGAAGAATGTAATACATAATTTTCTGTTCATGATTTGAAGAAAATTACATGAAAAACGAAGAGACCTAAACGGATATTGCTAGGAGAGATTTTGAATATGTAGAATTAGTAGAATGGCTATTGGACATACAATGGCAAACTATGAGCTATTCGAAGAAGGAGAAGAAAGATTCTGAAAGAATTATAGGACTATAGAATTGAGTTGAGAACTGAGACTGAGGCTGAGACTGAAAAACTTCATGAAATGAACGTGTTATCCATAACCATGAGTATCTGATTCATCATATCCGTTGGTGTCGGTTTCGTTGGTGTCAATGGTCGCTAGGATGAAAGCCTTTAGTCAGAGAGCCATTTCGGGATAGAATTACAGGTGCGTCACCTTCCTCACTGATCATTTTGATCAATCACTTTTTACGATTTCGATTAAAAATGAATGAAACAAAATGAAAATTGCTGCAGAATACTTAATTATATAAAGAAAATTATAAACCTGAATTTTGATAGATATACGTGAAATTAATAATTTGTATGGCAGTTTCATTAATTACATAAACTTTTCCTTTAACGTTTGCGTTAGATGGATTTGTTAATTCTCCGATATAGGTACCAAATTCGCTATCGTAAATATTCATAGCTGAAGGCGATGCTGTTTCGATATCTGAAAGTATTATTTACATTATAACCTATTATTTGTCTTAACAAACAATTGGTTTATGGATCAAACTTCTGTTTTAAGCTTAATTTTTGGAAAAATTTCTCAAAAATAATGTTTGTAATAAAAATGTTTTAAAAACTATATCGTTAGATAACAATTGAAAATACTGATTTGCTTTTTCTTTATAAATTAATTATATTAAAAATAATGTTTGTTCTATACTTTTCATATTTTTTTTTCTTATCATTTTCTTTATCACTAAATTGTTAAAATATGGGCTTACTTGGAATAAATAATAGCAAAACAAAAAACATTCTTATTTTCAATTTTATCTGAAAAAAAATAAAAAATAAATATTTTGTTTTAAATTCGTAAAAAAAATTTACGAAAGAAAAAAAAAATCATCAACAAAGAATTATTAAAAATATCAACCGATCGAATATAAACACATTTTCAACATTGGTTTTATTTTTTTCTTTTCAAAAAAAATTCATTGAAATTTCGAAAATTCCGAAATTTCATTGAAAATTCGAAAATATATCGAATCTTAATTAAACAAAATAATAATTATTCCATCCAATAATTATTCATTAATTGATCTTTTTTTTTTCGGACGGTAATTTTCTTTGTTAACTTAATTATTCGCCTAAATCAATGCGATCATTCGATCATTTCTGAATGCTTTCCACGGTTTATTAATAGAATTAATAGTGTAAATAAAAAAAAAAAAAGGAATAATTAAAAAACTGCAAATATTAAAAAATTTTAAATATTAAATTTGCTAAAGAATGGAATTAAAAATTTTAATTTTATAATTTATCAAAAATTAGAACTCTTTCAAATTATCTCTTTTGTCGTCAAATAAATTAAAAATAGTCCTTTCAATAGATATTCTTTCTCGATTATCGATAACCTATTTTTGCAGTTAATCATCATCATCACGATTTTTTAAACGATTCTAGCATTTGATAATAGTCGCAGAAAAACAAAAACAAATCATACAAATCGAAGATTGTTTTAGTGTTGTAAAACAGGTATACTAATTGAAAGAGAGGAACTACTAAAAACGACTAAATGCGTTGAAGCGTTGAGTAAACAAGAGAAATGGAAATTCCGTTCTCGAGGATGACAAATTATAAGCAGCGAATCGCTTAAAAAGCAACCAAACCATAGGATGAAATATATAGTATTGTAGCGATACGTTATTATAAAAATTACGACCATTCTATGATAATCAAATAATTAAAAAATAATTAAATAACAAAAGTAATTAAAACAACGACGTTCATTTCCTAAGACGAATATTGAGAATGAAAATCGATTTAATCAATGAATGATCGTATGAATCGCAATTTTTCGATTTTCGAGGTCATTAACCTGTTTCTTCAAATTATTCAGCACCTCGTATTATTACTTTAAATTAAACTTTAAATTCTTTAGGCAATAATTAATAAATGTTTATTGTTAGCATTTGTTTGCATATAAATGCGAAATATAAAATTTTAAAAATAAAATAAAATATTGGATTTGAAAAATTTGGAAGAAAAGAAAGTTGGTCAAATAATTAAAGCCAGAATATGAAAATTAATGGAACAAGGAAATACGAAGAATTGTACGAATGTCAATAAATGATCATTCGATGACCACTCGTTGGGAGGAATACGAATGAAAATAATAATGGATGTTTTGGAGAATAATCTGCATGCGATTTAATCGCTTAGTGCGTCTTTCAACCGATTTGTAAAAATTTTATTGAAAAATTCCACTTGGACAAATCTAATAAAATTTTTAATAATTACTGTTTTAATGTTTTAATGTTTAATAATGAAACATATAAAAATGAAATTATGAAATGAAATTTGTGATTCGATTGCTATTACCGCTAACTGTCACTAAAAGAGAGGCTTCAGGGAATTACATTGGGTTAGAATTATGATAAGCGATTGAATCTTTCCGCTTCGATTATAACGAAAACAGCATATCACCATTCTTCTCCTTCTTCTAAGGGTCCTCACTATTACTGGTTAGGCTGGCTCCAACGACTACAAGAGTAAGACGCTTCCAAGCGGCGCGGATGCCGTAGTCGACAATAATAGAAGCCATTCGTTTTTCCATTGCCTAAGTTCATGTAATACTGGTCCATCTATACGTTCAAAATCTTTTCTGATCGTATCAGTCCAGGTCTTGATTGGCCCATCTCGCTTTTGACGCCAACCATCACATGGTTTAGCAAATAACGAAATATGCGTCAACTCCTATGGTGGACGACGGAGAACGTGCCCTAACCAGCGAAAGCGACGTTCTGTGATAACATTATTAATGCAAGTTTGAATAAAGGTGGATGCGATCATATGATATTTTATCCGTTCGATCCGTAAATGTAGACAAGAGTGATCAAAGGCAGACTTCTTAATATCCTTCATTTTCATTGGCCATATCTCAGAGTCATCTAGCTAGATCGAACGAATCATGGCTATATGGCTATATATATATATATATATATATATATATATATATAGATGTGGTCTTTTGTTTTTATGGTGATTTCACAAAGGTTCCATAAAAGTTTCCCCAGCCGAACTGCCGTGATCCGGGTTGTAATATAGTCATAAAATAAAATATTTTAGGAATTTTTAATGAGCTTAAGATAAAAAGATATGCTTTATTAGCCTTTTTAGAACAATTTTTAAAAAAATTTATCTCAATATATAATAAAATATTGGAAAAATAATTCCTTGACAATAAAAATGACCGTACAAGACATTAATTATTAAATATTCATGAACTATTCCAGTATGCTTATATTTATGATATTCTTTGTTCTATAAATCAGTATTTTAAGACTATAAAAATTAATTCTCCTCATTCCTGTAATAAAAAATTTCTGATTTGGCCGACTCTATTAAATATTAGACGTTTTAGATTGCCTTTTCGCTAGAAAGCCATTTGCAAATAAAGATCGATGTAGATTTCCAAAACAAAATTTTTTTATTTTGGTCGAAGGATAGATGTCGAAAACTAAATCATGCTTCACCATGCTTCCTCGCATAAATAATTGATGCTTATTTGAAAAAAGAAATTCCCATAAACTTTGCTTCTTGACTCTCTGGATTTAGTTACCAGCAATATTCTTGGCCCGGATGGTGTAATTATATATTTTTAGAACTTATTGTCCAGAAAGTTTTTTTGATAAATCCAACTATTGAATATGAAACAGTTGAATTTTTTGATAATTTTGATAATTTTGAATTTAAGGAGTGATCCATTTCATTAGCATATAATATGTGGAACGCATTAAAAAATCATCCTTCTGCAAAAAAGTTCGAAAAGAATCAAGAAATGCAAAATATTAAATCTTTTGTTAACATATTATTGTAATAATATACACCAGTTGTTGAGTAATATATTGTATTTCGAATCAAGGCGAGTAGCACACATTGCAGTCATAAACCCGTCATTAAAGGTGAAAAACTGAGCGGCTGCTGGGAGGTATCTAAATCCGAGTGATAATGATAAAAGTGTTACCTTAAAAATCAACTAAATTTCATTTAACAATATATTTAATCGAATAAACTAAACCATAAATGATTAGTACTATGAAAGCTAATTGTATTCATTTTAAGAAAAAAAAAATAACACTAAAAGAAAAATGATAATATCACGAATAATTTTTGAAGATTTGAAATCATTCATTCAAACTATTATAACGCACCAAACATCTATACAAAAAGCCAAATTTTGCGTAAGCCAAATATCTTTGCCAGTTCTTCCATTTTATCATGAATAGATTCAGCAATAGCATATTTATAATGGGTAATCCATGCTAAGTCAACCAAAGTCTATTGTTTACCATCTGTTATGTCTATAACTATTAAAATATGCTAATTTATTATCAAACATTAGCTATAATTCTATTTAATTTACCAAAAAATATGGCTAAATTATTGATATCCAATCATTAATTGATTATTGTAACATATACAAAATGAAATTTCAACGCAAGATATGAATGAATTTCGCATGATTCCTCAAATTTACCAGAAAACTTCAAAACTATTGGCCTATTCTTTAAAATTTCAATTTCTTCTCGCTGTATTAAGAAAGAAACTATGTTTTGAAAATAATTAATAGAATTTTCTTAGTTTAATTAAGCGAAATAAAGAGAAATGAAAATTAAGAGAGCTTCATAAATATACTGAGATAATTTTAGTTAACGCATGACTACTGTCGTAGTAGACTTGACAAAATCGCGAAAATGTCCATCTGTTATTCAACAAAAGATTAGATTGCATCTGTGCTAGTCTTTTTATATGACAACAATTGTCATTCAAATCTAAGAAATATCAAAATCTTACATGTTAGCTTCTAAAAGTACTAATCCAATATTTTATCAGTGAATGTTGAAAAGCGAAAAAATGGTGATTATCAGTTGCATCAGTTGTAAAATTGGAGATCATTTAATTAGCAAAATATATTGTGATAACTAAAAAAACTAAAAAATCAAGGAAGAATCTAGCGGAAAAATTTACTACTGCTTAAACTATAAAACCTTACGAAATATGATAAATATAATTTTAAAAAATGTTATTTCTTTCAATACATTCATAGACTATTAACTATTGACGGTTATTAATACGCATACCAGGTTTGGCACAATTCGAATTCAAATGGCGAGGGTCATTTATATACTATAGAAGTAATAGCAAACTGCGAAAATTCGAAGAAACCTATTAAGGGATAAATGAAAATTTAGTTTTCTTGCAAATTTTCATGATGAAATTACATTAAAAAATTTTTCCTTATCACATTCGCGATTTGTTGGTCAAAATAATATTATAGAAAAGAAAAAAAGATAAAAAAAGAAAAAAATTTTTCTTTTAATCCAAATCCAAATATTTACAATCAAATTGGAGGAATTTTCTACAGTATTTGTGCATATGTATGGAATTTAATTTAATTCATTTAGATAGAATCTAAATTATTGAACAATAAATAGTTAGTTAGTTAGTTATCAAAATAAACAAGTCTTACTATCAAAATAAAGCCAACCAGTTTCATTAATTATTACTAATATTTTCAAATAAAGTTTACAATTCATAATTTAACGTTGAAAATAAAACGCATACCATTTCGTGAAAATTTTTCGTGCAAATTTTACCAAAAATCTTAATTTTTATTAATTTTTTATTCACTATTATTTATTCGTAAAAATATTTAATATTTAACCCGCAAATTTATTTTCTTTTTTTTTTAAATTTTTAAATTTTATTTTTTTAAATTTCTGAAAATGTGGTCTCATCGCGTTCAGAAATAATTTTTTTATAAATAAATAATTCTTTCTGTAAATCTATCAAATGAATTATCTTAAATTAATGAGATTTTTCTAAATCATATATCATTATTTTTGCCATATTCAAAAAATAGAAAAACTCATAAGAATGTTAATCGAAATAACTCCATGGAGAACAACGCTGATTTTAAAAAAGATTAGAAATGAAGAATTTCGAAAAGAAGAATTTATTATAAATATGAGAACAAAAGAATTTAATTTCATTTAGATTCCAATTTTTGTAGGGAATAGGAAGATATTTGAAATCTAGCAAATGGTGACTAAAATGAAATGTTGGATAATTTAAGTTAGATAGTTAAGTTGGATAGAATGGTCCGGAGGATTTACGTCGATCCTATTTTATCAAATATTATCATTAAATAAGCATAAAAAATTATTAAATAGCAAATATTATTCCTCCTTTGATTTATTTGTGCTCGAATCAACTAATATTGAACTGAAACAAAAAAAAAATGAAAGTTTTCCAAATTAGCCTAAAAATCCGCGATGATAATTTTTTAGAAAACAAAGTGGAAGTCATTATCACATGTCATGCATGATAATTGCTTAGAAGGAACTAACGCTATTAATTACCGCAACAGTAGATGAGAAAAATTTTCTGATCATCACAAAATTTTATTAAAAATTCTGACGAAAAAAACTGCGAAAATTTTTTTTGTAAATTTCTAATAGGATAAGCGATTACCAAAAATCCAATCATCAATGTGTGCAATAGGATAATTTTTAACAAAAATATTTGGTAGGAAAAAAAATTTCAAGTTCAATAAAAATGCTTGAAAAGGCAAATAGCACACTTAAATGAAGCAGAAAAAAGTTTTAGAAATGGTGGCAAAATTTCAAATGAAATAACACTGGAAGTATGGAAACTATTAAGCTAGTAAAACCTGAATATATAATTCTAAATTTTATTTATTATTTAGGTCAATCTTAATAATTACTACTCTACTGACATTAATCCAGTCCGACTCATTCCAATTTAGTTCATTATTCATTCATGATCTATTTAATGATATATTCAAAAACAAGTTTTAATGATTTTTTTAGTGATTAATATTGGAAAAAAATTTTTTCATTAATTTTTGCATACTAACTTGTCCGCCTATTTAACGCCAAATGAAAAATCTAATAAAAACTTAAAATATTCATAAAATAACTGAAAAGAAGACGTTAGAATTTGTCTTCCAGTATTCTATAAAATTTTTATACCCTCAAAATCGAAGAATGCTCTTAAATCTATTCAATAACTTATACAAATCAATTGAAATTTACGCATAACTAGTTACGTGCCAAACCTGAAAATGTCGGAAGAGATTTTAAACGCCAGAGTGATCCAGCGATATATGAGCTTAGATAATAGAAGAAATGGGCTTCTGCTACTTCTAACTATTAAGCTTGAACTAGAGGCTTGGAAACCAGTGGAACTAAACTAACCAGCAATGACATCAGTTGTTATGAAGAACGTGGAAAGAACGCATGGAAAATTTTATTTTCAAGCGTTATGATTTAATTTGTTAGTTGCTGAAAAATCCGAATTCCATGAAGATGAAACACTTAATCAGACATTTCGAAGGAAAAAATTCGTTTAAACTTTAAAATTTTGAAAAAAAAAATGCAATAAAGCTTATCAAAAATTATTTTCTTTTGTGCGTAAATTACATTATTTGTATAAAACATAGAATAATGAGAAAAAAAAACAAATAGTAAAGTTACAGTGGCATGAAAGGAATAATAACAAATTTAACAATTATTTATAACCAATTTTATTTATTTAGTTCCTTACGCATCGCGGAATCTGAAAAATAACAACAATCATTCTGCAATATTATGAAAAAAAAATTAAAACAGAAGCGGAAAATTTTCAAAAACTTGTTTAATAGGCAAAAATAGATGTAATAAATAAATATTTGATAAGAACTGAAAAGCGTAATCATATTTTACTAGTGATATTGAATACAGAAAAATATTATTCGATGATAATGGTAATGGTTAATTTGAATCAGAAAAATTATCATCTTAGACGAAATCACATAAAAATCACTTTTAACGAGAGAAGAAAATTTACAAAACAATCTTTTTCACAAACTTCGACCAATATTTAAGAAATACTAAAAGGTTGTTTAGGTTATATAAAAGTTAACTGACGAACCGATATAGAATCAAGGTATGGAGGCAGATGCATATCGTTATATGGAACGTATAGATGCGATAATGATATACTTTTTGTCAACGAAAAGATAGAAAACCAAAAAATATCTTTCATATCAATTGTTCCAGGTAATTTTACTATTATTTTTTCATTATAGTAATTTCGTAATGAATCGCAATCAAATGTTTTATTGTTTCTAAATTTTTTTTTTTTAATATTTGTTAAGAATTTTTATTGTATTAGAATAATAAAATTGAAATATTTTTCCACAGCTTAAATTATTAAAAATATATATATATATATTTAGAAATATTTCATTTTAATATTTTCTCACTTTCGTCAATTTTATTTATCAGTTATTAGTTTTATTAGTTTATCAGTTTTTAAATTATCAGTTTTTTAAATTCTTAAATCCTTTAGTACGATAAGTTATCAATTTTTTATTTTCAATAATAGAAAACGATTTTTCGCTTACAAAAAAAAAACATGATAAAAAGTATGAAGTAATAATTTACTTGTTGTATATTGGTGCAATGTGACCAGCATTATTAGGAAATATATCTTTCCCGACAACGAACCATGCAGCTTCGCCATTCGTTTTTAGAGTAAAATTGTTTATTTCGATTGTTTTTATATCAATAACCTATAAGATTCGTCCATTTATATAAAATAAACTGAATATGTTGGAATTGCTAATAATGCCTATAGAAATTATGTAGAATAAAAATAAAAAAATTTTTTTTCAAAAACTTCTAAATAATGCAATACATTAATCGCTCCAGTGCTGACAGTATATGGACCATTTGACATTAGTGGCCTTAATTGAACAATGGCAGGAATATTGAAGGCTTGTCCATTTGGAATAAATATATATGCTAATATTTTCTATAATTAAATAAAATTTTTTAGATGATAAAATGAAATATTACTTTAATTTATATGATTTACTTGAAAATTTCTAATCTATATATTTCAAAGCTTAGGACAGCGATAAAACAGCGATAAAATGAAATTATTGCTATCTCTTAAAATCTCTTTCATAATCAAATCATAATGATTATCAGCTAACCTTCTTTCTATGATCTCGAAGAGCAAGCCAATTAATTGTTTTAATCGTTTTATTTTCTGGTAGAGTTAATAAGATTGGTTGAAATCCGGCATACCAGCTTAATGGTTCTATATGTTCCTCATTATCAGAATGCTCAAATAATATTTCCGTAACATTTGTGGGAATTTTTATATAATTTTTTGCTACAGAATTAATATCTTCGCCAGATAAATGTAACGACGCTTTCTTATTCTCATTGAATAGTTCACTGAAATGCACTAAACATAATTTATTTGAGAATTTTGCGATTATGATAATAAATATGATATGATATGATATGATATGATGATAAGGATAATGAAACTCGTCTGAAATTATATAGAATCTAATTTGCATCGCATATCGTTGCATTTATCAAAAAAGAATAAAGCATTTGGCGATCCCACCTATCCACCTATATTTCTAATGTTTACCAGGTGATTCCCTAGTGAAAATTTCTAACCACATTCGGAGGTCGAGTTCAACCAAATATAGTGAATTAGCCACTTAATTATTTTAATTATTATATAGGCAATTAGGAAAGCTGCGTATTTTTGTTTCTTCTAGCCTTTTTATGGTTTAATCTTCCACTCTTTCACCTTCAATTTATTATCACTTATTATCACATCAACTCCATCTCCATTGACTTATTGCAATCAATGGATGAAGTTAAAGTTGTAAGAGACAAATAAAATCGCTTGATATTGCTAAATTTACCTCTGATTTGTTTTTAGTAAATCACCCATTTGTTCCACTGTTTCATTTGATGAATTTATGCTTATTTCCTATAGTTTTAAAAAAATTAATCATAAAATAATCATTGTACAAAAAAAAAATTATATAAACTTAATCGATGATAGTCTGATAAAATGATAATTAGGGTGATAATCATTCTGCAACTATCATTCATAGAAAAAGAAGAAGCACGTTTAGCTATTTCTTAATTCCAAAAACTATTTATTTATTTATTTACTGATAACCAGCCAAGCATGGCACCAATTTATTAACAATTTATTTTTAAATAGCAAAATAGAAATAGAAATAGCTATTTTGCATGGAATAAAGTACATTTGAGATAGTGTGAAAAATAAGTAGAATTTGCAGAAATTCAAATTTCTATAAGAAATTTTCTATAAGAAATAATTTTTTCTATAAGAAACTTTCAAAAAAGTTTCAAAAAAATAAGAAAACTAATTTTTGAAAAAAAAAACCTTTTCATCAATTGTTTTATTAGAAAAAACTTTGAAAAAATTATTTGGCAACGGAATTAATTGATCACTATCATATATATTGGAAAATATATCCTTTTTGATACGATTCGGAGGTTTATTCTGTCGTATATTCGCTTTTATTATCTAAAAGATTTTGATAATTTTTGAACTATTCAATGAAAGCATAACACAATGAAAGCACAAAAGCGGATGCTTTAGCCGATTTTAACGATAATAGTGCATATTGAATAATAAATATTGTTAATATATATACATATATATATTGAAGGGTGAAATAGCTCTGTGGATTGGTATTCTCATCTCGGAGCGCCAATGCTAGGTTTTTGCACCCCGCGGCAGTGAATTTGCATTTTAAAAATTCAGAAAATATTGTTGGCTCATAAATTCTATTGTAAAATAATTTTTTGGTAAAAATTTTTTCTTCTAATAAACCAGTGGAGCAAATCTAATCGAAAATGATAATAAAATAATAAATAATGATAATGATAATAGCTTATGATAACTTTTCGAAAAAATAAGCCATCCATCAGTTCGACTCCTTATTGCATTAATTAATTAAAATTTGTAATTTAATAATTTGTCCTTTTTTTCGCCAATTAAAAAGTAAATCTGATAAAATCTAATATTTTATCAAATCTAATATTTAACAAATCTAATATTAATACTTAATTCAATGGAAAATAAATTCTACTAAGGTTTAATTTTTGTAATGATTAACAAAATACTTCAATATTATTTTTTATGGATGAAGCGACATCAATTAACACTGGCTTTAAATAAAATCCATTCGCATTTGGAACCATATCTTCAATAACATTATTCGAATTGATATTTGGCCCAGCCCAAAAGGTAATATTATCTGTAAATTCGCTCGCATCGCCCGTGTTTTATTGATTATAGAACTTATTTTTTTTTGCAAAATTAGCCATATCTTCGGAAAACTCTTCGAAAAAAGTATTGTCAGCAATATAATCCAAAAAAAAGAAACCAGCAATAAGAGAATTTGGTTTAAACTGGAATTTCGATATGATTAGGTGTTGAGAATCGGCTGCCCATACGGCACCTGATATTTTGGATTCCTTATCCATCTGAATTTTTATAATGATTTCATTTTAAATGAATTTATCAGAAATATTCATAAGAATTGATTAAATTATTCAGTTTATTATTATTATTATTATTCAGTTTTTAAGAAGAATTTTTTCAGCAAAAAGAAAGCTAATATTTTGAGTAAATATTTTTCTAGGATTCGATTACATTGATAACATTGATAACATATAATTTATATATTTAATTAAGTTTTCGCTTTTAATTAGTTTTCATTAAATAGATTCGGCCTATCAAGTCAACCGTTTAATACAATTTGAACATATGTTACTATAATAACAAAAGAGCTTTCTGCTAAATAAATAAATAAAGTTGATTCAGCGGTACTTAAACACAAAAATCTGATTGATTGTTAGAGCTCTTCGCCGGTTAGAGGCAATTAATTAATTACGCAGACGAAAGTAATTAATTTTAAAATAGTTTTTTTAAAGATAAGTTCTAACAAGGGATAACCTGAGCTGCAAAACTACCACAATATGTCCCATAATAAGGCAATTTATCGAATGACACTTTTTTACTGGAATTTTTCTGGCCGCTGCGACGATTTTGTTGTATCCATTCTAATAAACGATTTTCTTTGGATTTCGATGATAATTTGTCTTTATTCGACATATTTCTTCAAACTATGATCATGCAAACAGAAAAATTTGTAGGAATATTATGATAGAATTTTTTCTTAATTCACCATTCACCATTACTGATAAGACTCGCTCACTGGCACGTCACACTAGACAAATATCCCAGAGAGCCTCGTAATGGTAGAAAACTTATTTTGATATACCCTCGTAATTACTCTTACATAAGACCTTATAAAAATCTTATTGAATCGAATTGCATGAAATACTAACAGATTTTTATACTAATGAAATATTGTTTTGCAAATAAGTTAAGTTTTAGCTAAAATGAATAGTGAGATGAAAAAAATAACGTAGATTTTCTTGAAAAATGCAAAATTTTTTTGAGTGAACAGCCATAATTTTCTCACTTAAAGATTGCCGTTTTTAAAAATTTACCAAAAATTTTTATATATTTTATATTCTAATTTCAATAAAAGTTATCAAAAATTATCAAAGAAATTATCAAATATGGTAAAAAAAACAAAAGAATTTCAACAAACGAACTCGAATGAAGATAATACGGTATGAACGTCTAATTCACCGGATTCTATCGCTCCTTGTAATAAAATTCGTTGTTCTTCGGGCAGCTCATTTAATAATTTCATTATTTCACCTGTACTGTTGACTAAACTTTTGCTGCTAATTGTTTGATTATTTTCTTCCTCTTTTTCTTTTTTATTTATCAAACTTTTCTCAGCTGAAAGAAAAAAAAAAGAATTTTCTAAATGACAAAACTTTTTTGTTGCTTAATATTTTTTAAAGAGCATTCACTAGTATTACTGATTAGAGACATTCCTCTGGCTTGTCGCATTAGGCAAATATGCCAGGGAGATACCAATAGAGATAAATCACCAGCAACACCTGGATTTTTGAACATGTTTACTCCTACAGGCAACAACGTCTTGAATCATTCTACTACTTATTATTTAATATTTTTGTAAAATAAAATGGTTAAATGATCATATTCCAACTGATAATATCAACTAATCTACAAGCAAGTAAATAATATAAAATGTGATTGATAAAGAATATAACTTATCGCTTCAAAGAAATATTTTAAAACATTCGATAAAAAAACTAATACGAAAATCTATAAAGACCACCAAAAAATTTTTGCTATAAAATAGTTAAGATAAGTACACTAAATTATTTTTATATTATTATTTTTATATTATTTTTATATTATTATTACAAGAAGTAAAGTAAGTATAAATTCTAAACTTTCCCCACATTTTCTATTGTGCAAGCAATTTTTCCAACTAATTTCATTAAGTAATTTAAATATTTAATTAATTCATCGTGATTGTATGATTATATGCTATGCCTCAAATATTTAAATATTTCTAAAATAGTTGAATTTTAAAAGGATTTTTCTGCAAATTTTTTTTTTCGACAATTTGCTCATATTTGAAAGGAAATTATCTTGATTCGATTTAGTGCACGCACTTGACTTTAAATTTTATTCCTATCTCTTCCTGAGAGTAAACCAGCTAAGTGAAATAAATGGAAATTAAAATCGAGCTATTTTGAAATTAAAGCGGTTATGCAATAAATTGAAGGGTGGCAAAACTGCCATTGATAAGATATTTAATTTTTTTTCTTCCTTGATAATCTAAATAATTTCCACATTTTCAGTATGTTCAGTATGTAAGGAAATGACAAAAAATTCGATTTACCTTTCGATGTAAAAACGCTTTGGGTATTAATAATATTTGATGAAACACCAAACGGATTATCGATAGCATTATTGGTTAATAATAAATTATCAGCGAATGGATCAGCAAATGCCGATGTGAATGCTGATAATAAACTTTTCTGAAAATTCATTTAATGAATTCTACTATATTTTGAATTTTTTTCTAAATGAAATTCTAAAAAAAAAATTTTTCCATTAATGAAACTTCAAGAAAAAAAGGAAATTTTAGAGAATATTTATTCTCTAAAATTTCCTTTTTTTATTGAAGTTTAATATTTATTCTCCTCGTTTTTATTTTATTTTATGCATCGTAATAACATACTTAAAGCAAATATTTACTTAAATCTTTAAAAAAAATCTAATTTAATCTGACAAATAATTACCTGTCCAGAAACCGGTAAATTTAATAAATTACTTGTAATCTTTGATATATGTTCAAGTGCTTCACCGGATTTTAAGAGTGATGCAACGGTATTAGTTGTAGCAATTATATCGTTACCCATAAAATATGGTTGTAACTTTTGAGATCCAGAAAACATGGAATTAATTATGTTATTATTGATATTATCAACAGGTGATAATTTATTAGTTGCTAATCTTGAATATTGAACTTTTGAAGGAATCACTCTAAAAATAAAAATAAAACAAAAATCTCATAAATAGACAATAAATAAAAGATACAATTAAATGAATAATGGTCAGGCATATTAAAAATCGCCGAGGCACAAATGGTATCATTATCGCAAGAAAAAATCCAATGATCAAAATACATTGTAGGCGATTAGTTTTATTTAAACAACATTTTGTACAAAAATTAATGGACCTTATGGCATTTTTTATCGGAAATTGTTGTAGACCTTGTTGAACGATTGGTTTCCGCATTTGAACTTGCGGAATGATACGATCATTCCTATATTCTGAAAACAAGGACGGCAATTGGTTTTGTGGCAATACTTTTCTACCTTTTAGAAATATTGCTGGCCTGAAAGTTATTTTAAATAAAATTCCGGCATTTTAATTATGAATTATGTAAAATGCCTAAATATTAAAAAAAAAATAGATCGAAATATTTTAAAAAATTTGCATATCTCGGAATTTTGTCAAAAACCTCATTGAACTACTTGTTGTATTTATTTTGTATTTTATTTAAATTAAAATATTGCGTTACTCGATTAAATAATTAAAATAGATTTAAAAAAATAAAGCAAAAATTGTTCATATTGATGTTGCAGAAGATTGCATTCATTTTCTTCGATAAAAAGCAATTTTTTCACTTTTTCCCTTTTTGACTTAAATTTTAACTTTATTCGAACCAATTTATTATCGAATTAAATTATTAAATTATAGTAAAGTTATAGACAAAAAAGTCGACCGAAGTATGTCATTAAAAGTGAAATCCGGTCTGCTTTCCTATACATCCGTTTCTCTGACAAAATTTGGACAAAAGAACTTGTGCTCAGTGCAGAATGAATCAAAATGGCTGATACGATAACGACAATGAGTTTATTACAAGAAAAATTAAATTAGACCAACTTTTTTTTCGTTGTATATTTGTAAGAAGAGGTTGGCTGCATTATTTTCGGTGATATTTTTCTTTGATTATCATTTTCCATATATTTATTACGTGATTCAATAAATTCATTGATATGATAAGATGGAAGAGTTATAACGATAGGTACTGATCCGTTATAATATTTGGACAATATAGGTAAATATGGCAACGGTTTTTTGGCTAATTTCGACGGCACTGATGATGATAATAAAGAATTAAAATAATTTTTATTACGTCGCAAATAATCTGACCAAGAAAGTATGGCTGTTCTTCGATTTGTTATCGATGGCTGATGAAATCTTGATGCAGGCAATATTGATGAACTTGTTGATAATAGCGATGAGCTTAATTTATTCCTTCCCAATTCAGAAGCTGTTTAGAAGATTATTTTGTGAAAAGATTTATTAGTGAATTTATTTTTTTTTTCATTTAAATATATCTTCTAATCATCTTTAAAAGTATCGCTAAATATTTTCAATATTATGCGAATTTTTGAAAAAAAATGAAAAAAAAAATGAAAGTAAATGCAAAGAAAAAATTGAATGAAAAAAAATTGATAAATTATTCGTAAAATTTCGTTTGAAAAAATTTTTTCTTCATTGCCTTTTATTTACCTAAAAATTACTTTTGAAATTTATAAAATATATAATAAAAATATTAAAATTACCTGTGAAATTTATGAAAAATTGCACGATTGTGATAAATAAAATTAGAAAAAATTGCTTTTGTGACATTTATTATTTGAAATAAAAATATATTCGAACAATAAATAAAGCTTTTTGGCATAAATAAGAGGAAGGAAGATATGGGTTTTGATGAATTATTTCATTGAATCAGGTCATTTAATCGCAACCTCAATTCATGAATGTGTTTATAGTGCTTTGTTCTCTTTAACCCATCAACCCTTTTATATACATTATTTAAATAATATTCTGCTTATTCAATATCATTTTTCTTGCAAAAAAACAGGTTTCTTTAATGGCTAATAATGCTATTTACATAAAATTACCGCGATTTTTCCATTATTAAGCTTTTCTTATTTGCAGAGATTATCGAGGAAAATTTAATTCTAAATTTCTCTCATAAATTTTGGTGCTATCGCTTTTCTCTCCGTCAGGAACATAAAATTTTTTCTGATTTTCGAGAATTCCATTAACCATTGTATTGGAATTTTTTCTAGACTAGAAAGTTATAATTTGAGGATTGATTTTTCTGGTTCGAAAAGAATATAACTAGTTTTTTAACGCAGCTGCACTTCATTTTTAATAATAAGTTTACTCATTTTGAGAATGGAATTCAAGTAGTTTCGCCTTTCGCCATACGTACAGACTCGAACTATTTTCCATCTTTTCAAACATATTCCTGCATATATTTGCAAATTTTCATGAAATACATTTGGTTTCGTTTGAAAATCCTTTGCATCCCTATATATTCAGTATTGATTGGCAATGCCATAATTTTAAGTACTTTTATTGCTTTGCTTTGCTTTTCTGCTTTGGAATTTCGATTGATTCGAAAAATCTTCCTTTCATTCCTCATCTAACATAATCTTTTAAAAATTATCGAAAACATGTGAAAATATTTCATATTTCATGGAAATAATTCTTATTAAATTTTATTTTTCTACATGAATGAATTTCAATTAAAACAATTAGTAAGAGCATAAAAATTATTTTAGAAAAGTACAAAAATATAAAAAAATTTAAAACGTCCTATTGCGAGTTTTTTTCGTCGAAATTCCTCCTAAATTAATTCCATTTTCTATTTTTTTTGAAAATTTTTATAATTTCTTTTCCATTTCTAGTTCGCCTTATCGAAGCAAACGAATTTTGCCAGTGATTCACTTTGTGATACAAATATGGGTTTCGTATAAAAAATTCGGATTTGCTCATTCCGGAAGTGGAACAATTACTATACGGAATGAGAGCGACAATCAACTGAGCCATTCGCTCAATAATTGGTTCCATTATTTTAGTTTAATTTCACTTTTGTATAAATCCTATACGAACAGTTTTAATACAAATAAATAAATAAATATAAATTTTCATATATTTATTTTCTATTTTTTATGTAAAAAGAACTTAAAAGTGATGGCGAAATAAAAATAATAATTTTATAAAAATGTTTTTAGCTAATGAATTGGTTCCACTGTTATATCAATTCGCGATTCTTTAAAAAATTCAAAATCCAATTCAATTCATGAAAATGGAAAATTACTTATCGGAAATCAGAACGTTTTTTGCACTTTTCTGTTTCATTTTATTGTCAGTTATGAATGTCACCAATGGAGTTCGTATAAAAATTTGGAAAAAAAATGGCAAAAAAAGATATTTTTTAAGATTTTCGCATAAAATTAAAATATTAAAACAAAATATTCTTTTTTTTTGTGATAAAATTTACGATTTATCCATTAATTAGTGGGGAAAAATTTTATTTGTCTAGAAATTAATAAATGCACTATTTGCAAATAATTCAATTATTAGAAAAAAATGAAAAATTTTTATTTTTATAATTTTTCTTCATTCGCTGAACTGTATATTTTGTAATTAATTTTTGTATAATTGATTTTAATAAATTATTTTTAAATTATATTTAAAAATTTATAACGCATCCTTAAAAATATATAATAGAAATTCGAATCCGAATGAAGCAATTTGCCAATTTTAGTTGGAATTTCTTCGCTCCACTAACTATTATTTGGCGACCGAAATACAAAGATAGGTCACTAGCATTAGTCGAATTTCACTTTTCAATAACAGGTTTACGCATAAAGCACGAATGGAATTCACTGACCATTGCAATTCAACTGCCCCAATGTATAAAAAAAAAATTTTCCAAATTATTTCTTGAGAATTTACTTATTCAAAATTTTTTTACCAATCTTACGTCGATTTGTTAGAATTGTGAAGAAAAAACGAAGAAATTATAAACATATATCAAATTTCACCTTAAAAATCCCAAGTAGTTTAAAGCATAATAAAGCACCTCTCTTTCTTGTTAAAGTAATTCTCGAAAGGACGATTTGAATGAAATAAAAAGTTTTATCACAAACTAATCAATGATTATTTATCAGTAATTGACGAAATTTTAAAAATCCTCCTTATCGCTAGAAAATTTATGAAAAGAAAAAATAGATTGATGCAATCCAAATATAATAGATTAAACTAATTTTATCGTCAAAATTTGTTAAAAGAAAAAAAAAAAAACTTTCGTGAATTTGAATTTTTTTCCATCATTTATTAAATAACTAGTAAATAGGCTTCGATATTAATTAAACGACCGAAGGAACTCAATCGGCTTTTTTCATTTTCATTCAGAAACAATTTTTTCTACCGATCCGACAAATTTGTGAAACCATTTGAAATGAATCAATTGCTATTAAGTTAGTTAATTTTTTATTATTTTTATTATTTTAATGACAATTTCTTATTTATTTTTATTTGGTAATTTTAAATCAGCTGATTATTGTTGATAATTCATCTCTATCAAAAAATATACGTAACTGACTTTCTGATTTAAAGATTCTTTTAAATATTTGAATGGAGAATTTATTTGGTCAATTACTGTATCAAATCAAATACTGTAATTTATATTTTATCCTTATCTTATCAGTATTTTATGAAACTATAGTGATATGTTAAAGAGATTGCTGATCTCATTTTAAGGCGCAAATGCTTAACTTCAACTTCTACTATTTGCAAAAAATCCATTCAAATGATACTCACTTCTATCGGCAAATTACTACCGTCCAAAATCTATTTACATGTTCCACAGGTCAGTGGGATGAATGTAGCCTATTTATTTAACTTCTCTCGATAAAATTTTGTTAGAATTTTAAAGAAATCCTTAAACTATTCTCTTTTCCCCTCCACTTTTCATATAATCTATTATATCTTTTACACCTTCTTCATCATCATCTACATTTTCTCTAATTCGCCCGATTTCTGTTTTCCAACATCTCTAATCACTTTCTTGCGGTATTATCACTCCTCAAATCTTATCCTTTATCGCCTCTCCACTAAATCTTAGCGTTTATCTTCGAAATCCATTATCCACATAAATATCTCTATTATCTCTATTATTTCCTATATAAATACAATTAGTTTAATACTATTTTTCATTTATTTTTGTTTTGTGTTAAGAAAAGAAAAATTTAATATTTATTTTTATTATATTTTGAAATAAATATAAATAAGCGAGTTAAAATGAGTTCGAGAAGTATTCGCACATTACTTCGTAATTCGTCCGCATTACTTACAATTGCTTGTAAGTGTTTTTTTTTTTATTTATATTGTTTTGTTATTAAAAATTATTATTATTAAAATTATTATTATTAAAATTATTAAAAATAATAATTTCAAATCAACAAAAATTCATTTTTTAAACTTCAATTTATTCTTTATTAAAATTTTTTTTTAAAAATTTTCAACGATATTCGGCAGAGACGTTGTCCGTGACAGTCGCGTGACAGTCGCAGTTTCGCGTGAACCTCAGCAGGCAACTTATAAGTCGGCTTTGACGTCGAACTGTTTCGGCGAATACGCCTTAATGCGTGAAAGATGCTTGTTTAAGCACTGACAATATTTGACTGTTCTTTCATTCCGACGTAGTGGTGGTGAAAATCTGTCAAGCATATAGAGATGGTTTAGCTTAAAAACGAATAGGCTGCTCGGCGATCGCATATCAAGCAAAGGCTTTCGCTGACCTTTGAAATGACCTTTGAAATGACCTTTGACACGATGATGATCTAATTTATTTTATTGGTCATTCTTAAAGGTTTAGAATAATCTTAAGTATATTTTTTGACTTCTATTAATTAGTCGTTTGATTCGTCGAAATTCATTCCATAAGCGAGGTTACCCGTCATTTACGCTAATCGTTCATAAATTCACTCGTAATTTTCATTAATTCTCCCCTCTCAACCGTGAATCGTCTTTTTGTTTTCACTTTTTTTTTTTCTATTAAATATAATTTATATAATTTAAAATAGAAATTATATTTTTTGAAAGGCGAATTTATTTTTAATTATTTAGAATTTAAAATTATTTTAATTAAAAACTTTTATTTGTTTGTTGATTTTTAATGACGAACGGTGATTTTATTTTATTTTTTTATTTTATCACAAAAATAAATATTTTTCAATTATAATTTTTGCTAATTAACTTTTAATTTTTTATTTTTTTATTTATATTTATTTATTTTTTTCAATTTTAAAAATTAAATATTATAAATATTACAAAATTATTTAAATTTATTTTTTATTTTCAATAATTTTTAAAAATTATTATTTATTATTTTATTATTTTAAAGACGATATTGGACGAGCATATCCAATTGCATTTCAAAAACGAAGAAAAATTATTCGTATAGCAACACTTCGCGATCAAATAACACATCAGCCTTATCTTCATAAAAAGGTCTTTTTGCTCGCTTCTATTTCGAAAATTCTAAAATTGTTTGGCTTGAATTATAAAAAATTACTTGGCCAAACTCATATTTTATTAAATAAATTGTCTAATAAACCAGTTAAGTCTTTTGCTAATCCATTAAAAACTCTTAGCAGATTTAGCAGACTCTTCATTACACTTTGTTTAAAGCCTCTAAGCCTCTAAGCTAGTCGGTTTCCGTTGTCCTCGCCCTTGCTTCCCTCTCTAAAACTGAATTATGCTTATATGGTAGCAAAAACTGTATTCGTCGTTGTTATAGCTTCCAGTGACGAACTTTAATTGAAGCGAATTTTAACGATGGTAAGTCATAATGGAGCGAGAATGTACAATTTATAGATTTAAATTTGCTCATTATTCGTCTAAAAGGTTCCATTTACAAGGATTGTTTTTTTTTTTTGAATAAATAAATTTATTTTAAAGAATAAAGCGTCGTTGGTAATTTTCGATAAAGATGGGACGCTTATTTGCTTTCAATCGATGTGGGTCCCGTGGGCACTTTCCGTCGCTAAATGGTTTCTTTTCTTTCACCTTTTTTTTTTATTTTCTTTTTTTCCTTGAAATTTTTTGCGATTTATATTTTAAAAAGAAAGAAATCCATTTCGAATAACCATTTTGAAAATTTAGTATTGACGAAGCGACCAAATTGAATATTCGTGAAGAAATTTATAAAGTTCTTGGCTTTTCTCCTGTGGAAAATCGTGTAAAACCTGGTTTACTAGCCGAAGGAACGTTGAGTCAAATTCATGAAGCTTTAGCGCGAATTCTAATTCGTCACGGCATCGCATCAAGCGAAGCAATCGCCGTTAGACTCCTTTTTTTTTCTTAATTGATCTTTATAAAATCTTTTGTTTATTAAAGATTTATTTTATTGATGTATTTTGATTTTAAAAATTGTCAAAATTTGAAAAAGATAAATTATTTTAATTTGAATTTTCATTTTTTTTTTAATTCTTTGTTATTATTAATTTAACATTTGAATTTAGTACGTTGATGAAGCGATCAAAGAATCCAATAAAGTAACGACTCATTCGATGAAAGAGATTTACGACCTTCAACTTTTATTCAATCAGTTGCGTGAAAATAATGTTAAAATAGCGATATGTACGTCAGACAGCAGGTAGATTCTCAATTTTTTATTTTTATTATTAATTAGTAATGGTGTTTCATTTTTTCAAAATCGCTAATAGATTTATTCTCTGAAAATATTTTCTCTTTTACATTTTTTCTTTTGTTATGCTTTTCAATTAGTTTGATTTCAATGTAGTTATGAGGGATTTTTTTGAAGCGATTAATTCTATTTTAAAATTTGTTTCCTCTTAGGAAACATATTTTTCTCTTGAAATATCTGAATATTTCAAATGTTAGATTTGGTACGATGAATACTCTTAAAAAACTGAAATTGGATAAACTTGTCGATGTTGTTGTGTGTGGTGATGATGCGGGCGCTATGCCTAAACCCCATCCGCACAATGCTTTATCAATCTGTCGTCTTCTTGATGTTGATCCATTAGTGAGTTTTTCAAATATCTTATTAATTTTTGTATTTTAAAAACCCCTATGCTCTTCATCTGGCAGCACTATTACCGGTTAAGGCTCCGTTGGCTATAGCACCAAAGGTCGCCTTCAAACTCCTCGATCTAATGCTATATCTGAGATTAAAAAGATTAATTTTTAAATAGTTTAAGCCGAAATTTAGTTCTTGGTCCACCTCGCTTTTGGCGCCATCTATTAAAAACCATGTTATTTTTCAAAAATTTATTTTTTAAAAAAATCGTATATTATAAAGAATTGGGAAAATGACAAATCTTTTTGATGTTTGAGTCGTTAAGGAAAATAAATTATATGTTTCGTGAGATTCACTTCTTTCTCATATCGTTTATGTCAAATTTTTTCTGCAATGATATTTTCTTTTAAACGAGAAGCAAATTAAATATCTGTAAATGATATTTTTATAAACTGAAGGATACGCTAGTTGTTGGCGATACATTGGCTGATATGGGAATGGGTCGCTCAGCAAATCTTGGAGGAACTGTAGGTGTATTATCGGGTGTTTGTAATGGTGATGAGCTTCGACCTCTAGCTGATCATATTGTAAGTTATTTTTGTTAAAACAAGATTTTGTGTATTTAATTTTTGTACTTCTTATTACTTTAACCTTTTTTATATTTACAAATTAAATTTCTCATTCTTTCCTCCTGTTCTTTGATCGAGAATTTGTCAATGTTATTTATAAATTATTATCGAATTTACTGATTTTATCCAGTTTTCATTTTTGGTTATTTTTAGTTATTCAGTTGATTATACATGGGAGACAATAATTTATCTTCTGTGACGTCACATTTGAAAAGAAAATGAAAGATAAATTTTTAATTTCAGGTGAAAGATGTAGGCGAGCTATTGCCAATCGTACTTGATATGCGAAGATTTTCGCTTTCTTAGAATTTCTAATGGTTCTTTGATGGTTAATGGACGTTACAATTCATTAATTCATTAAAGATCGAAAAACTAATTCATGTTAAATTAATTAATTCATCGAATTCAAATTCAAAATCAATTTAAATTAATTAAATTAAATTCATCGATTATTCATCGATTATTAGTTTATTTTGTTAATTTATTTTATAGACGAATTAAATTGTGGAAAACAGATAATTGAAATTTTTATACTTGCTCATCTATTGCGTTATAGTTATTCTAAAGTGTAAAAAATTAGAACCAGGTAATAATGAGATCAAAATGTTGGGACCACATAATGATGTGATCACTTATGTCATTGATGAGGAAATCCTTATTTTTATTCAAATTTTCATTAGCTATATGATAAAATATCAGTAAGACAAAATAAAAAAAATACCAGTAAACTAACTGCGTAAACCGTGAATGAGCAAGTGTAAACCGTTTTATTCTTTGTTTCATATAGTTAAAATTATATTCTAACATTCTAATATTATATTCTTTTATATTGCAGATCTCTCATTTTAAATTGGTGTATACTATTTATATGTGTTCGATGAGAAAAATTTGATGTATATTTAACGATTTATTTATTTTCTATAGGATTTCCAAATCTTTCTGTGCTATAAATTGCTTAGGGAATCCAGAATATCCCGTGAATTCTTTGAATAGCAATTTAGTAAAATAATTAGTAGTGGAGTAGAAAAATGCGAAAGTGCAAAACTAAAAAATGATTTTTGCTGTTGGCAAAATTACAAGTATTGCTAATAATTATATAATCCATTAATTGATAAAAATGTCTCAATTTTCAGTATTTCTAGAATTACTAAAAAATTTGAAAAGGTGAAAATTTGAAATTCGAAAAAATCGCTTCATAGAACTCTTTTGAGAACTCTTGGTATATTAGATTAGTAATTTATTTTTTCATTTAATCTATTTGATCTATATTCGTAAAAATAGCTTTTTTATGGTGTTTTATTTGATTTTTCCTCATTTTGGATAATTTTTATACAAGAATGTATTAGAATGAAAAACCAAGAAATCAACTAGGATCACCTTATTTAATCTCGAAAATATTAAAATATTTCAATTTTATGAAATGAAATGAAATGAAAGAAAATCCTCTTTAAAATAGAATTTGCTGTAGATAAATTTTTTCATTTCTACTACCATTATACTTCAAAAATAATAAATTATTTATTAAAATATATTTGTTTTAATCGAATAATTTGGGTTATTTTCATCCCTGGTGTTTGTTCGAAAATTTTTTATTGCAACTATCTGAACTAGTTGACACTCTATTTGGTTCTCGAAAAAATAAACCACATAAGAAAAATTTAAACCACATTTAGATAGCAACTAGTAGGAAATCATGAATCTTGGACTTGAACTTTCGTCATGTGGTGAATTTTCTAGTTGTTGAAGTATTGCTTTATCTTCGATTATCGGCAGATTTTAGGCTCATCTTATATTACTTTAACTAAGGACGAATAGAATTTTTTTCCCTTGAAAGAATCTGGCAAAATATCGGTGTATCACTGAAAGGAATTCTCTCGAAAATAGTACTTTTTTGAAAGACAAATCGGTTTTTCCGAGTCGATCTTCACCTTTAATTGATTTCTTGATGAAGGGAAATTGTTATTTCAATAATCCGTGGAACCAGCAAGGAACGGTGGAGAACTTTTAAGAAAACGAAGAGGGGATTTATTATATGAATTCATGAATTGGTCAATAATCTATTATTGTTGGATTTGTAGTAATCAATTACTGTTTCGACTTGATTTTGTGATAATTGTGTTAATTGATAATTTTGGACATTATCACTCTTCGATTCGAAAAATGCAAACAAACCACTTTTTCTATGGTTTGGTTAATTAGTTATTTTGCGAGTTGTTAATATAGAAATAATGAAAAAAAAATTTTAATATTTTAGAAAAGAAATGCGAAATAAATTATTCTTAATTAATCGTCGTGCTTTAAGCTATTTAAACAGTTTTAAAAGTGGTTATATCAAACCGGAATTGGGTGATAATAAGCCAACGCATATTATCATTGGTGCGGGATCAGCTGGATGTGTTTTGGTGATTTCTCTATTTTTTGTGATTTTTTAAAATATAATTGCTAGTTGAGGTAAGGAATTTTAATTATTATTAGTTTCCTTTCATATATAAAAAGTTAAGAAAAAGTCAAAGTCTATAATTAGAGAGCAATATCTTGGTTCCAGTACAACAAACATGAATTATGGTAAATATCGTTGGTACTATTTCAGTATTATGAATTTCTGAAAGAAAAATTTTTTAGGCGAGTCGTCTCACAGAAAATTTATCGAATCGTGTTTTACTAATAGAAGCTGGACCTCGAGATTGGTGGTGGAACTGGAAGATTCATATGCCTGCTGCTCTAATGTATAATTTATGTAACGATAAATATAATTGGTATGCTGATAAATATTTAGCTTTGCTTTACATAAAAATTTCATTTCTAAATATAGAAAATTGTCTCTTTAGACTCATTTTGCTAAAAAAAATGCTAAATTTATTTTATTTAGTTTTTCAGCTCTTTTTAAGGACCATTATTGGTTAGACACGCTTCGCTGGCTTACTATGCTAGACAAATATTCCAGTTAGTCTCTTGGCGATAGTACAGATGTGTCGCAAGCATCACTCGGATTATTCGACAGGTTTACTGCTGCTGGCAATAGAATTTCAGAATCGGCGCTCCGAATTTTATTAACGATAATCCACTGAGCCATTATACATCCTTTTTTTTCTTTGTTAGGCAACGCTGGCGAACGGGTGGTGCTTCGGCTGATTTCCAACTCAAGCCTCTATTCTTGACGGCAGTTATCCTTCCACTAAACCTCTGACGCATCGGTTTTCTAATTTATGAGTGGTAAAATGCTTTTTGATTAGGAAACGACAGTAGTGAGATTTCTAGACAGGCGAAATGACGATTAGCTATTATATGCAGGTTTTATCACACAACAGCTCAAAAAAATATGAATTCTCGCGTAATATATTGGCCTCGTGGACGTGTTTGGGGCGGTTCGTCGACGCTAAATGCTATGGTTTATATTCGTGGTCATCCATTTGATTATGACCGTTGGCATGAAGAAGGTGCTGAAAATTGGTCTTATAAGTAAGTTAATTTTAGTCATTTGCTGAATTTAAATTTAAGTTCTTTTTTTTCAAATCCGTCTGCCCAAAACTTTTTAGTTTTATTATTAATTTGCCTTATTTGCCTTAATGCACGATTTCACGCTTTTATTGGTATACAGATTGGATTATTTTTGGGGTTAATTTTTTTCCGGATTCGGTTATATATTTTTTACGGTTTAATGTTCTTCATTCAGCTGATTTCTTATTTACAATTTTATTTGGTAAAATTTTCCATTATTCTTTTTTTTCCTGGGCTCCTCAAAGATTTGTAGATATGTTCTTCCGTATTTCAAGAAATCTGAAACATTTCAATTTGCTAAAGCGGATGATCCATATCGCGGTAACTCTGGGCCATTACAAGTTACGGTCGGTGAATGCAAGCATCCATTGCACCAAGCCTTCATTGAAGCTGGTAGACAGGCATGTTTTCCATCGTTTTCTATCATTAAATTTCTATTGATTGTTCGAAAAAAATTAAATAAGTTAAAAATTAAATAATCTGTTCATAAATTGTGAGTTTAGTAAGTATTCATATTATTAACTGATTTTTTCCATTGAAATTTTTACTTTGAGCGGTTCAAAATAATTTTGATACCAAGTAATCTTTATATATTTGAGATGGGTCTTGGTATCACGAATGATATGAATGGATATAAACAAGAGGGTACAGCTCCAATGGATATGACTATTTATAAAGGTGTTCGTTGGAGTTCTTCCAAAGCATATTTATGGCCTGTAAGAGTTTAGTGGTATTATTACACATATATATTCCATTTTTTATTATTTTTTCAAAATCTGAGAGTTTTCAATTATTTTGTGAAAATTCATTGATTTGAAGAATTGAAAAAAATTTCCTACGAGAATTGTGAAAATTGAAGATTTGAAATTCTTTAAATCGCAGGCTGTCTAAGGATAAATTAAAATTGTTTCTTTTCTGGTTTCCTTAGATTTTTTATTTTTTAAATGCATAATAACATAATAATGCATAAAAAAATTTTTTTTGAATCTATAAAAATTCTTATAGATTCTCAATCGTCCGAATTTATATATCTCATCAGGAATTACATGTACGCGCATACTTTTCCATGGTAATAAGGCTATCGGCATCGAATATATTGCTAAGGTCTATCGTTTTTTTCAGATTTTTGTATTTTTTAACGTCAAATAGAAAAATTATTTTATTATATTTGTTTTTATTGTTTTGAAAAATTAAGTTAATTTTGAAAGCTAATAACACTGAAAATCTATTTTATGATGTAAAACTTGTTGTTTTCGTTTAGTATGTTTTCCATTCTTTCTCAAAGCTTTCTTATATATCATAAATTTTATGATCAAAATAAAACTTCTATTTCCCTCAATTTTACTTTTTTTTTTAAAATTTCATCGTGGATATTTTCTTGATTTTGACTTGGATATCACTATGAATTTTTAAATCACTTTCAGTTATTTCAGTTATTTTTTATTAAATTTTTCAAACCAATTAAGGAGATTAAAGAAAAAATTTTTTTTATTTTTTCTTTAAATTTCTCGTTTTCAGACAAATTTTATGCAATCTGATAACATCGATTCGTATAGTCGCGATAAAATATACTGTGAGGATTCTGTGATTTTAGCTGCTGGTGCAATTAACTCTCCACAGCTTTTGATGATTAGCGGCATAGGTCCTGCTGATCATCTCCGAGTAAGATTTTTGTAAAGCTAAGTATAAAGTTTGCTCTATAATTTGCAGCATTTTAATCTTTTGATATATTATTTGTTGAAGGATATTTTAGGGCATCAGTATTATTAACCCCAAAAATTGGGGTTTGAGCTTGAACCCACCGATGCACCATTCTTAATTAAGCGGCACTGTCGCCTAACTCATTGGGTTGTCGTTTAACTCGTAGCGCCGATGCTGAGGTTCTACTCGAGGTCAAAAAATCTGGGTGATGCTGGCGACTCATTTATGCTTATCATTTATCATCAAGAGATTCCCTTTGTATAAAAGGGATATAAGAGACTCTATTTATTTGTCTAGTACAGCAAACCAGAGGAACAAATCTAACCTGTAGTAATAAATACTCTTAAAGAAAAGATGGCTATTTTGCCAAAAAAATTATTTCTTTTTAGGTCAGTTTTGTGATATTCAGAGAATTTTTAGGCCCACAACATTCCTGTTAAATTGCATTTACCTGGAGTGGGCCAGAATCTTCAAGACCACTTAGAAGTCTACGTGCAGCAGGTTTTGCGCTTTTTCTTCCAATTTTTACTTTGATATTTTGAAGAAAAAAAAATAAAGGAAAAAAATTCATAATTATGAATCGAATTGATTGTTTATTAATTTTCTTAACCAATTTTGACTTCATTTTTATCGGTTAGGAATGCCTGAAACCAATTACGTTATATAATCAAAGTTCATGGAAATTCCCTCATAATATGGTACGAGTGGGTCTCGAGTGGTTTTTGTCGCAAACAGGTATTGGCGCGAGTAGTCATCTTGAATCTGGTGGATTCGTTAGAAGCAGCAATGAGGTATGATACAATCAATTAAAATTTTCAGTTGGTTATGTATATGCAAATCATTTGGTTATTATATATACACTTAATTGATTTCATTTAAGGTAAAGCATCCTGACATTCAGCTTCATTTCTTACCTTCTACTGTTCATAACGATGGTCGTACTGCTGGATCTTGTCATGCATACCAGGTATAAAAAGCCATTTATATTTTGCTTTTGAGAGAATTTTTTTTAACATATTTCTTTTACCTTTTTTCTTTATATTGGACTTAGGATTTATTATTATTATTATTATTAGAGAACTTAGATTCATGTTGGTCCATTGCGATCTAAATCGAAAGGTCATATATTGCTTGCTTCTCCTGACCCAAGGCGGCATCCTCTTTTAAACCCCAAATATTTGAATCACGAAGAAGATTTCGTAGAATTTAGAAAAGCGATTCGAATATCCAGGTAAGATGAAGTTCCCAGTTTTCAATCAAATTTTATTGCGTAATTTTTCATTAGATATGCAGTATATATATTATTTTTATTTCAACTTTTTATTTTTATTAAATGGTTATTGTTATTAAATGGTATATAAAATTTTTATATATATAAAAAATTAAATTTTTTTTTATATTTTCCAGTCTTTTATGCAGAAATTTTCGAATTTTTTCTCTTTTAAAAACAATATTTAGAGAATTATTTGCACAAAAATGTTTTGACGAGTATCGTGGTGATGAACTTGCACCAGGTCGGGATTGCCAGTCTGATAAAGAGGTTTAAGTTTTATTTTGTTTATTTTTTTTTTCTTTAACTCTAATACATTAATATACATTTTCCTTTTCATTCATATATACAAAAAAAATTTTACTATTATTAAATCTTAAGCTTTAAGATTGATGAGTTCGTTCGATGTATGGCTGCATCAGCTTATCACCCGTCGTGCACTTGTAAAATGGGAAGTGAATCCGACAAATTGGCTGTGGTAAATCCAAAAACAATGGGAATTTATGGACTTGAAGATATTTATGTATATTTTTGCTTAATTCATAGTCATAGTTATGTTTTTAATGTTATGTCTCATTATATGCGATAATTTAAAGTAGCGAATTAATTTAATATAATGAATATCTATGCTTTTTATCAATCATTATCAGTTTTATTAAAGTGAACATTTAAATGTTTATTTTTATCTCTAAATGTGTTTAATGTGCTTATATAAGTTTTATGGACTTGAATATATTTTTTGTGTAACTTTTAATGATAGAAGAAGAGAGTATTGATTTCGATAGTTTCAGATAGCTGATGCATCTGTCATGCCATCTGTTATCAGTGGTAATATAAATGCTTCGACGATTATGATAGCAGAAAGGGCTGCAGATCTAATCCAAGGTAAACAACCGCTAGATTATCAAATAGTCCCCGTTTGGACTCATTAAATTATTATTATTTGCCGTTTTGTTTCAGCATTTAATTTGATTCCTGATCTTAATTATAGAAACGGTTGTTTTTTTAATTTATGAATCAACTGTAATTTTTGTAATTTATTATATAATTATTATTGGCCTTAATTTGAGAATAATTTTCCTCTTATTAATGAAAATTCTTCTTTTTTTCCATAGACTAAAGCTTTAGTTTTTGCTGATTTTTTCTATTAAATTGTTTTCGCTTTTTGAAATTTCCATTTTCCGTTTAAAAATTTAGAGTTCATCTATTTTTAAGAAAAATTTAGGAAAAAATTTTTTTAAAATGAGATTTTAGGTGCAGAATTGCAGATTAGCCTTCATCTACTTAGGAGTTTTTTATTTCCATAAAAAGAATTCATTACGTTTAGCTTTTCGATTAGTTAACTTTAAAACATTAAATACTCCTTTAATTTTTAAATTCTTTTCAATTTTTTTAAAAAATAGGCAAAAAAATATTTTTATTGTTTTGGAAAAGTATTTTTTTTAATACTATTTTAATTGTTTGCAATTTTTTGTTGTTGTTTTTGTTTCTATGCTATTTAATTGAATATTTAATCTTCTTTTACTATTTCCTAATAAAAATTTCTTAAATTTTTTTCCCAAAACAAGCAAATTTTAAATTGGTTTTCTGCACTATTTTTTTAAAAGAATTTTCTAAGTTTTCAAAAAAATAAATTTAAATTCTTTCGTTCTTTTTCACATAAAATTTTATCAGCGTAACAATATAAATTAAAAGTGAAATTTCCAAAAATCGAATAATTCTTTTCTTTTTTTTTTTTTAATTCGCTTTAATTAAATTAGTTTCAAGTTATTTTAATTTTTTTCTTCGATTAGTTTTTAGAATAAAATCGTAATTTCTCAATTGGCAATCGATTTTCGCCTGCAAATAATCTGATAATTTAATTTAATTTTATTTCCTTTTCTATAATAAATTATTTTCTGGTTGTAAATATTATTATTATTCATTGTTCGCCGAACAAAAGCTTTTAGTTTATAATTTTTGTATATGAAATTGCATATTTTCTCACAGCGAATTATTTCATTTATTTTAATTTATTTATACACAATATTTCAATAATATTGACAATAAAATCATTTTATCATTATCACTTGTTGTCATTTTTATTTAAAATCATTATTATTATTATCATCATCATTTTATCATTTTATCATCATCACTTGTTATCAATCTTTATTTTTATTTAATTTGTTATTAATTTTATTTATTTAAATCATTTTTATTATCATTTTTATTATCATTATCATTTTATCATTATCGTCATTTTTTTCATCATTAATATTATCATTTTTTATAAATATAATCATTATAAATACAATATTAATAATAGCAATAATAATAATAATAATAAAGTTATAAATTGTAATATTTGTGGAAACATTCCAAAAATATTTATAAAATGAATTTGCCAATTTTCCATACTTTTTCATCAAAAAAGAATAAATTTATCGAAGAGCTTTATATCAATTATAGCTAAATTTAAACGTAATTCAGTTTTTTCTATTATTTACATAGCTAATTTATATGATAAAAAAATTTTTTCCGATCGCTTTTTTGTCACTTTTTCTAATTTATTTTACAATTTTTGATATATTACAATTTATATTCTAAGAATCAGTTTAATTTATAGTGTAAAAAATTCAATGTTTTTTCTCTTATAAGATTTTTAAGATTTTAATGAAACTTATAAAAAATTTGCTATTGCTTAATCAAAACAAATTATTTATTCGCTTGTTAAATTATCAATTCAATGATAAGAATGTAATAGTTACTGATAATACTGTCGAAAATAATGAGCAATTATTTGATAATTTCGGTCGACAACATACATATTTGAGAATATCGCTCACTGAGCGGTGCAATTTACGATGTTAGTTTTTCTTTTTTATTTTTTATTATTTTTTATTTCATTTTTAGCATATTAAAAATATTCTTATTAATTGTAAATTTTAAGACCTAAATCGATCGTTTTTAATTTTTTACCCTCAAGGATCGTCCATTTGCTTTCAGCTGAATCTTCATATGATTCAATCAGTACTCAGTACTTCACTTTTCAATAAAAATCCTTTCCATAAATTCTATAATAATAATAGAATAATAATATGCGAGTTGCACCAAACTGCACCAAATTGCACCAAATTATTTAAATTAATCGATTCATAAATTTGTTCTAAAATTGAATCGAATGAATAGAACATCGATTTATTATTGGTTTTGTGTAAAAGGAAAAAAAAATTTTTTAAAAATTTATGGAATGAAAATAAGAAAAATAAAATTTAATTGAAAGAATAATGCTGAATTATTTATATTTTCATCGTAATCATATAATTTTTTTTTTTTTAATAAATAAATTAAATTAAATTTTAATAAATAAATTTTTAAGGTTTTTATTGTATGCCTGAAAATAGTATCAAATTAAATAAAAAATCCAATATATTAACAACTGACGAAATTATTCGATTAGTTAATATATTCGCTATGAATGGTGTAAATAAAATTCGTTTGACTGGTGGTGAACCAACAATAAGAAAAGATTTATTGGATATTATTCGTAAGTTGACCTATATAAATTTTATGGAAAAACTAAAAATGGTACCATCGAAATTCGTACCGAAATCGAATTTTCATTAATATTTCGAATCGCTGCTAGTGATCCACCTTGAAGATCCAAGATCCAAATGATTCACATGCATAGAAATATAAATATAGTGAGGTTAAATAAATATTATTATCATCAAATATTATCGCAATATTGGTATTGATTATTGTTATCAATTAATAATCAACCAAATGATTAGTGATAATTAAATCTTTAGCGAAAATAATATTAAATAAATTTGATAAAAATTTGATAAAAAAGAAGTGGAAAAAGGATCGCTTTTTAAGGAGCGATTTCTTCCATAAAAGGAATTAAAGAAATTGGTTTAACGACGAATGGTATATTAATAGCGAATAAATTAAAGGATTTCGTGAATGCGGGTTTAAATAGAATTAATATAAGTTTGGATACGTTAAATTCAAATAAATTCATAATGATAACTAAACGAAATGGTTTAAATAAAGTTTTACAAACTATCGATATAGCAGAAAATTTTTTCGAGCAAATAAAGGTTAATTTTTATTAAAAATTTAAAAAAAAAAATTGAATAGTGCAGAACTTTGAACTTTGTATGAAAAATAATAATAAAAATTAATTTTTAATATTATTTTAAAAAGTTAAAATTATAAATATTTTTCGTATTTTTATAGTTTATTGATATTATTGTTATTATTCTTATTTATCTTTATATTATTTTTTATATTCTTTTGTATTGTTTTTTCAAAAAAAAATTTAAATTGAAAATGGAAATTTAAATATTTTATTTAGAATATTTTAGATAAATAACGTCGTAATACGAACTATAAATGACGATGAAATATTAGATTTTATTGCTTTAACTCAAAAACGTGTTGGTTTTTATTCATATATTTATTAAAATATATAATTTTTAATTTTTTCCTCATATTTTTAAGCTATTTTTTTTATTGTCAACTAATAATTTCATCGAAAATTAGTTATTAATTTTTCATTTTTTACAAATATCAAAAATACAAACTTCTGTCAAATTACTTAAATTACTTTTAAAGGATGTATGAGGGCATATTTATGCCTTTTAAAATTTCATATTTTTAATGATCCAATTTAAATTTTTGTTGGGGTAGAATTGGCTCAGTGTGTTGTTGCTCAATTGAGAGCGCCGATGCTGAGGTTCGATTCCCTGCAGGAGTAAACGTGTACAAAAATCCGGGTGATGCTGGCGACTCACCTGTATTTCTATCGTCAAACGACTCCGTGGTATATTGCCCAATGCGATAAGCCAGTTTAACTAGTGCGAGTAAGGATTCTTAGGAAAAAAAAATTAATATTTGCAACTCAAAATTGTTTGCCTATAGGCTATGTCTTTTAAGAAATTTTATTCGCCAAAGAAATCGATTCAGTTTTTATTTATCTTTTAATTTTCAGAAAATATATGTTAGATTTATCGAATATATGCCATTTAATGGGAATAAATTTGAGAAAAATAAAATGGTACCATATAGCGAAATGCTGAAAATAATTCAAATGAGGTATCCAATGGTGCTAAAAATAAAAGATCCACTAAATAGCACAGCGAAAGTTTGTTTAACGAATTTTGAATTTTGAATCTTAATTTTTGGATTTTGTTTATTCCATAAACTTTTTTTTTATTAGAATATTTAAAAAATTACGAATAATTACAAAATTTTTTTTTATTAGAATATTTAAAGAATTACAAATAATTTTAAAAAATAATTTTTTTTAAATTTGGTTCGAAAAATATTTCGAATTTTCCGATATTCACAAATTTTTATATTTTTAAAAAAATTCTATTCTTTTAAAGTCGTATCAAATTCATGGATTTCATGGTAAATTCGGATTCATTACATCAATGTCTGAACATTTTTGCGATACATGCAATCGACTTAGAATAACTGCTGATGGTAATCTTAAGGTAATATTGTTGTCACAAGTAATTTTTTATATCTGAGCGATAGTTCAATTTTTTGTGAATTTTTGAAAATTTTTCATTAATCTAAAAAATTCGCGAATTTTCTTAATGTTGTTTTTGTAAAAATTTGACTAAGTTTTTTAAAAAAAATATTTCTTATTAATTTATTTATCAAAAGAGTTATGGAAAAAAATGAGTGTTTCAAGTAGAAATTAGATTTTTGTACGACCACCGAGGAACCAAATCAAATTTTTATATCACCTCGAATTGTAGTAATTGATTCGGCTGAGAATTTTTTTCTCCTCTAAACTTGTTTTATTTCATTTTACTTTTTAAAAATTTTCAATTCCTTAATTTCCTTCTTCATTATAAATTTATAATAAATTTATTTAAAATAAGTTTAAATAAGTTTAAAATAATTTTAATTGATTTAATTGATTTTTTTCAGAAACGTTCCTATAATTTTAATATTTTTCAAATTCATATTAAATGTTTTTTCAAATTAAATAAAAGTTTTCATTTTTTAATTTTAATATTATTTAAAAATTTAAAATTTAGTTTAGATTCGCTGTAAAAAGATTGACGAAAATATAGTAAAATAGGAAAATTATTAATATAAAAATTTGAATTTAAAAATTTTCTAAAATTTGAAAGTGGCTAATTTAAATAGATATTTTTTTGATTTGTTTTAAGGTATGCTTGCATGGCAATGCTGAAATTTCTTTGAGAGATCTAATGAGATCGGGCGCAGCAGATTTTGAAGTAATTTTTGCTGTACGAGATGCCTTGAAACGTAAAATGAAGCAACATGCAGGTACCATAACTGATCGCTTCTTTTTACTAATATCTAATCTTTCAAACTTGTCTTATATCTTAAAAATGAGGCTTTTCGGAGTTTCTGACTATACTATTAGAGGACACTATTAGCAGATGGTACTTTGTGATCTCAGCGATTTCCTTAGGCAGGAGTGGTTGACCGTTTTCAATGGCTACGCCATATTAAATTGGATTAAGCGAGACCATTATTTTGGTGGTTTTGTGACCATTTTCTAAAATTCTTAAACGGAAGGAAGATTTCCGGCTGCTGGTAACTTGCCAATCTAATCATAATTTGGCAATTCCTCGCTGATGAATCTATAAAAAACAATCAGCTCGATTTCCGTTGCAGACTGTTTTGACGGTCCAATATTATAATTCTTCGTGGTTATCAGCTGAAAGGTCTATATCATCAGCGTATTTTTGTTCATGTTATAAATCTCAGATTGGCTTGAATACCCATTTAATCATAAAAGGCATTTAATTTATCGCATGAAACGTTAAAACTAACGTCCATATGATATGAAACCCGTCTATTCATGCAGAAATTTATATCATTTTAAATATTGTTAAAATGATCATAAAAAAAAAACGAAACTTTTGTTGTTGCTATAGCTAAATTTTGAGGTATGGAAAACTTAATGAAAATGACAACGAACAGGCCGATGATACTGATCGGTGGCTGAATATTTTTTCACATTGGTGATCATCATCATTTAAAGATAAATCATCTCATAATTGGAAAGAGCTGAAAATAATCAAAAATCTAAAGTTATGAATTAATAAACAGCTAATGGCAGATAAATTGGTACTAGCCGAATGAACAAAACTCTGTTGATTTCCTTTTGAAAACTTTTCCTTTTTCTATTTGATTCATTTTTGGAAAGATATATATAATAATGATCAAAAGAATTCGTCTTCTCTTATTCACCATTTTTAATTCCTTAATAGAAACCTATTCACCATGGAACTGTTTGGAAGAGATCCAAAGATCCAACGTCAGTCGAAATATGCACCGTGTCCATTGTTCATGTATAAAGTGTCCATTGCGAGGCCACTAGCGATTTCGTATTCGATTTTTGATTTTGGATTTTTAAAGAATTCAGTTCATTGTAAATTAATTTTAAAATTTTTTTTTATATTATATTTATAATTTTTTTTTATAATTTCCATGTTGATAAATTTTTATTTTTAACGAATGTCTCTATTAATCCTCTTGATTAATCAGTTCATGAGACATCTTTAATATTTTACATTGTGAAAAATTATATTTTGGAAAATTCTGAGACGCAAATCAGCTATTCAGCTAACTCGATATTTCTGGGATTTATACCTTAGATTATCATCTCTTCCTAGTAAACAATAAAGACAATCATGTATGCAGTAATGCGAGTTGTCAGGAAGAAAGTTGTCGAATATTTTCAGCAGATACTTAAATCCTCCGAAGTTAAATCTTTTATGAGCAACACCTTTTGTCTTTTTTGAAGAGCTATATTGCAGGCATAGAGGAATTTTTTTGAAAATGATATTGAAATTTTTGATTTAAATGGAACGGGGCATTGAATTTTGGTCGAATTTTAGATTTTATAAAATATTTTAGAAAATTATGAAAAATTGCAAAAAATTGAATATGCTTCGTCTCATGAATAGTTAGTTTTTGCTTAAATTTCAAATTTTATAATTTAATATAAAAAGTACTCTAAAATATCTTTTATTCTTGGAGTAAATTCAGAAGTAAAATTTAGAAGTAAGTAAGAAGTTAAGGAATAAAGTCAGCAAAGAGAAATAATTTTAGTTTTTTTCATTCCCTATCATTTATCAATTCATGAGCCATCTTCCTTTAATATTCCCCTATCATTTTTCATATAATTTTTGGGTTATAGTTTCTAGGAATTTTTTATAATTTAGACCATAAATATTCGCATAAAAAATTAGAAGACCATTTTAGATATTTTAATTTTAATGAAAGATATCGCATAAATTAATAATTTCATTCTAGTGAATTTTTTATGCCGAAAATTTCCATCCGAAATTAGTAATAATAAATTTACTCACGTAAACGATGATGGGAAAGCAATAATGATTGATATAACAACAAAAGCTAATACGAATCGCACTGCAATAAGTCAATGCACGATTAAGGTTTGTAAAAACGAGTTAAATATTTTTTTTTAACTCCCTTTAAATAAATAAATGAAATATAGACAAAATTATTAATGATAAAAATGATAAAGGTTTTGGCTTCAATTTATTTTTAATTTCTACTTTTCAGTGATATGATTCAGAGAACTGCCGAACATATAAATTATTTTAGAAATTATTAAAAGTTAATAAAATTAATAATTTTTATCATTTATCATTTTTTTATCATTTTTATCATCATCAGATTAATTTAGAAAATTGAAAGTCTTTTAGGTTACGGGTGAAGTAATGAACAATTTGATAAATAATAAGAATAAAAAAGGTGATGCAATGCAAATTGCTAGGATTGCGGCGATACAAGCCACTAAAATGACTTCTAATTTAATACCTTTGTGTCATAATATTCCTTTATCATCTGTTAATGTTGATATAGAACTTTTAAAGGTGAGTTATTGCAATTATCTCGTCTAACTGGCATCTAAATAATTTAAGGGATACTATTCGTTTTACTCGCTTTTCGCTATGGTTCATTTTGAAGCATTTCAAGAAAATAGTAAAGAAATTAGAGAATTTAGCAATAATTTCGATTCGTTCTATTTTTTTTATGAATAAAATTTGTCATTTTTATCGTAATAATATATATTTTATATTTTATTTTACATTATATATTTTACATATAAAATATATATAATATATAATATGTAAAATATAAATAATATATAAAACATAATATGTAAAATAAATAATATTTTTATCATATATATACATAAAATAATATATATATATATATAATAATAATATATAATATATATAATAATACATTTATATATATAATATATAATATATTCATAATTTATATTATATTATACATTTATATAATATATTATATATATTATAATTTAATATCTTTGTGTCATAATATTCTTTTATCATCTGTTAATGCTGATATAGAACTTTTAAATAATATTATACATATTATATAATATATATATAATTATATATATTATATAATATATATGAGGAAAAAAATAATTAATAAAAAATAAATAATTAATAAAAAAATAAAAAAAATTTTTCATCGAACTAAACTAATCAGTAATCCATTGTAAATCAGAATCAAATCAGAATAGATATTATATTTTCATGAAAAAATATTCTTTCTATTTTAAAAAAAAATTACATTTTAGAATAAAAATGAGGTTTTAATAAGATCGGAAGTTAAGACAAATTGGAAGACTGGTGTAGAAATGGAATCACTAATGTCCGTTTCGATCGCTGCTCTTACTATATACGATATGTGCAAAGAGATTACGCATGATATTATTATTAAAGATGTTCGTTTAATAGCGAAAAGTGGTGGAAAAAATGATTTTGGCAATGAAAATCTCTAATGTTTTCAACTGAAGTCTTCAAATCATCAATTTTTTTGCATTTCTTTTGCTCAAATTTTATTATTTATTGATAATTATTGATAATTATTTTTATTGATAATTAAATATTGTTTCTTTATTTTAATCCATTTTCCTTGTTTATTTCAATAAAAAAATGTTTCAGTAATTCTTTGGCTTATTTGCATTTATCAAAATTATTATTATTAGTATTTACTGATTATATTTAATAATATTTAAAAATTAATAATAAACTAAGCCATAAAGGAAAGTAAAAAATTGAAGATTTATAAAGAAGATTTTAAATAAAAACCAAATGATTTCCTCATCAAACAGCCGTAAAGCATTTTTTGTTTGGCTTAATCCACTGATTATTATCGTACGATGTTTTCTTCTTTCCAATTATCGATATATTTAGTGATAAAATTTTAGAAATAAATAAATAATTTAAAAAATCTGTTAATAACATACGAAATTAATTAGGTATTATTTACATTTAGAGAAGAATGATAAGAAATTAATTAGGTATTATTAACATTTAGAAAAGAATGATAAGAAATTAATTAGCTATTATTTACACTTAAAAAGGAATGATAAGAAATCCATTGATTTATAACCTATAAACCTATGCATTTGCGAAAATGAAGACTATGTCGCCGATTAGCGAGGAAATAAAAGTTATTAGATTTGATTGCGACTCGCCAAAAAGAACTTTAGTTAGGCTCTCGAATAATAAGTCCACTAATATCGGTCAACAAAAGCACTGCGATCATTTTCATCCACAGATCCGAGATTTCGTCCTATTGCCGAAGTCAGTAAGTGATCTCGAGTGGTCGACTAACCGGCCGACTGGCCAGCTTTTATTATTTTAATTTCTTTCCATATTGTTATTTTGAAAAATTATAGTTTCTTTTTTTCTTATAGACTTATAGTCTTCTAATTATAGTCTTTTCGCATGGCACGTAAAAATTCACCATCCATTCGATATACGAAAACTGCATTTAACTATATTTATATTTTTAAGAGTCCTCACCATTACTGATTAAACTCGCTCCACTGGCTTATCGCATTCGACGATATGCCACGAAGTACCGTGGCGATAGAGATACAGGTGAGTCGCCAGCATCACACGTATTTTTATACACGTTTACTCCTGCGGGGAATCGAACCTCAGCTTCGGCGCTCCCAATTGAGCAACAACTCACTAAGCCATCCGATCTACGAAAATTGAAATGCGATATTTAAATGCGATATGTTATTTATTTATTTCCGCATTATTTCCGGAGCTATGCAATGAAATTATTCTTCCGATTTGCCTCTAAAGAAAATATTTTGCAGATTTGCAAAATGAAAATGGAAATTTTCACAATTATAAAATGAATAAAACGCAAAGAGAAATGAAAAAATGGAAGCGAAAAATTTTGAGCAAATATAATTTCCATAAAAAATTTCCAGAAAAATTTTCTTGTAGTATTTATAATCGATAAATGCTTATAGTAAATGCTTTACCGAAGTAATTTCTAATTAATTTATTCCTCTTTTCATGTTAATAAAAACTATTTAGGGTTATTAAATGAAAATAAATTTTATAAGCTTTTAATTTTTTAGCTGTAAACTGCCAGTGATTCTTTTGAAACGAATTTCTACAATCGGTATTTTTCGTTAGTAGTTAATACTAATAGTGTTATGGCTTTTATGTCATCATGGTTAGGCTGAATTCGTAGGGAAATGACAATTTTAGGCGGTTATTTAACCCAAAAAAATACTTTGGGCTTTCGTCTTTCAGTTAAACGTTCTGCAATATTTTCTTTACTTCAACAGGTATTTCGTTAATTTTTTTTTTCATATATTTTTTAAAATTTTATTAAAAAATCTCATCGAACGAATTTGAGAAGATTTTTAAAATTAACGATTGCTCCTTAATTTCTCGTTTGAATCAAATCATTGATCTTTGATGTTTAAAATTAAAAAATCAAAACAATCGAAAAAATTTACGCCTCGATTACTGTATTTATTGATCGCTATAATTTTTTTTTTTTTTCATCGAATTATTAATATAAAATTAAATTCGCATTTAAAAATGTTTTATTTTAGTTAACTAAAGATAATGAAGAATATTTCACGACGAATGTTTCAACGCATTCCGAACTTTTTAAAGAATATTTTCGACAAATTGATTTATTCATTCCAACTTTACAGAGTTTATCATTTTTCATTTTTTTTATTTTATTTACTAAAAGTCAAACTGTCCTTTAATGCCCTTTAGCTTTATAAGATAAAAGCCAATTTATAGTATATATTATATGCCAAGAAGATTCTTCTTGCCTCATTTTTGGTGCCATTAAGGGGCCGAACGGTTGAGTTCATTAGATTATTGATTTTCTGTATTTCCTTTTGCTTAGACGTTCATATTTTTCAGATTTTCAAGGAGTTCCATAGTTGAGCACCGTTAGGTTCAAAGCGATTATTTTACATTCGTATTTCGCAAGACTCCGGCGATTTCGCCAATAATTTTGAATAATTTCTTGAGTATAAAAAAAATGAATAATTTAATCTTTTTAGGCCCTTTATATGTCAGACGTAATTTATTTATTTATTTTATTGAAAACCAGCCAAACAGGGCGCAACCGCCATGTGCTTGTATTAATAACAACAGTTAAAATAACAAATAATAAGAATTAATGACAAAAAACAAAAAAATAATAATATTAAAATAAAATAAACAATTTTTTATAATAATTAATTGAAAAATTTAATACGTAATACGTAATATTAATATGTAAAACTTCTTCAGATATTGTTTTAAGGCTGTTTTGTACCATAACGACTTTGACAGTGTATATTGTATATTTATATATATACAGTGTATATTGTACCATAACGATTTTGACAGAGTTTATTGTTTATATTTAAAAATGTTGCTTTTTAATTGCAAATTTAGGTTATGTTATTGAATTACAACGAATAGCTCCAAAGTACGATTATGATTTGAATACCCCTGGTAATGGTTTTCGGTTAGTCTTTTTTATATTTGAATTTCTTGAATTTGAGTTTAGACAAAAAATAAATTGGCTGAATTGATTTTAATCATAGCAGCACTTTTATTATCGTGGTCTTTTTATTTCATCTTTTCTCCATATATCTATAATTTTTTTTTTTTTGAGATGGACACTTCAAACGTGAATATATTCTAAATTTAATTTTATTAATTCTTCCATTTTCTTTTGTAGTTCTTTGGTTTGCATATGCGATATAGCAATGTTACATTTGGTATCAATTTTGCGTACTTGCATTGAGTATCGTTCTTTCACTATGTTTCGTGCATCATATTATTGCAAAGAGATCGAAAGTTATTGCGGTATTTTAAGATTCTTTGTTGTCTTATTCGACAAGGTTTGTTTATTATTTTAAATCATTTTCATTTGATTTTTAATATAAAATTAAGATAACAATTTTTTGCCAATTCATATAGCGAATTAGAGAGAGAAATGTTTTATTCTTTCATCTATCCTTCTAAATTATAAATTGTAAATTTAATTGAATTTTTTATTTTTTAATTTAAGGTCTTATCATTATCAAGACAACTCCCCAATGGTTCATTGTTACCACGTTTGGACGAAGACTGTTCAAAATTCCAAGAATTATTCGATGAAATTGAAGCTGCTGATTTCTCTTTTTTTTACGGGCGTCGTCTCGGTTTTCAGGTTTTCTTATATGATTTTCTTATAATGACATACTTCAACTTCCAAAATATGTTGGTGTACAATTAGTGAAATGGGATTATCTTGGGCGACACCATAAAATATATAGTATAGTTAAAAAAAACTTTGTTTATTTTTTGTATTTTTTATAAATTAAAGAAAAAAGGACAACATAAAAATAATGATATATTTGAGCTTTTTTCGAAATTTTCATTACATCAATGTAATGTTCTATAGATATAGTTCTATTTCCCAGGGCTTCGTTCTTTTATCACTTCGTATTGTTTTTGCCACTCTTTCAATAGATTGCTTAATAAACTCGCTCTCGGTAAATGGTTTCGATTTTTTTGCAGTCAGATCAAGACAGCCACCACTAATTGCTAATTATTAGCCTGTTGTAATGGAGCCCATTTGAACTATTATAAAAATTTTTTAAAATGAAATCTCTCGAGATGGTTGTCTTTTGAGTTCCGACATATTTCTTAGTCCGCTTCAAATTCGAATTTGATTACATGTTTTTCCTTTTCAAAATGTAGTCTAAAAATCGATGATTTCCTTATAAATTGTTATTTAGTATTTCGACAAAAAAATTAATTCCTCTAATTTTCTTAATTGTCTAATTTTCTTAATCCATCTTGGGTTCTATTTTGTTCTGAAATAGCGTTATGCTGAAACAAAAAAATAAATGAACAACCTTTCAATAAGAAAGCTTACATATTTATGGCTCAGTGGGTTGATGCTCAATTTGGAACAGCCGAAGCTGCTGTTCGATTCCCCACAGGAACAAACCTGCACTCACCTTGTACTAATAATTTCACTAAATAGGTTGAAATAATATAGGCAAACGCAATGCATTACGAAAATATTCTTAAAATCGTATGTTGTTCACAGCTAGCTTTGTGTGGTCATTTAGCCGCAGATTGGACATTACGATTTTCAATAATTTTCAATATTCATTTTTAAATTAATTTTTAATTTTTTTTTAACAAGCAAATCAAGCAAAATCACAATGAATTTCTTCTACATTTGTTTTCAGTTTTCTCCTTCTATCTCCAGAATTTTTCGTTTTATTGGCATTCTTTTGGCAACTTATAGTCTCTCGCGGGAAAAAGGACACGGCCCTATTGGATCGTTAATTAATTCTAGCCGTTTTTTTTTAAGTCCTGAACAACGCGCTTCACGTATTTTGAAAGTATTTGAAATTTTAAAGATATTCAAAAAATTGAAAGTAATTGAAAAAATAATTGAATATAATTTAATGAATCGAATAATTGATATGGATGGATTAAAATTAGGATGAAAAAAATTTATTTTTAATGAACCATAAATATTGTCTCATTAGAGTTTAAATGGTAATTAATCATTTTTCTTAATGTTTAATGTTTTTAGAACTTACAAGGCTTCGAAAAATAATCAAATAAAATATTTCCAATTTTGAAAAGCTGAACAAAAAACTCTGATATATTGATAGATTCTGTTAATATTTACTTTATTATTCATTTTATAAATTAATTAAGGTAACTCGCGAAGCTGACATTGAATTTTGTAAAGGTTTCTGGAATCTTTCTGAAGTGGGAATAGTAAGTTTTTTGTTTTTCCAAATTTTTTTTACTGTCTAATACATTGCATTACTAATTTGAAAGTTGTGGTATTTAAAACTTATAGAATTATCAAATGTTGTAAATATCAGTGACATAAGACATTGAAAATAATTAAAAAAATAATTGAATTTAATTTAATGAATCGAATAATTAATATGGATGGATTAAAAATTAGGATCAAAATGAAAAAAATTCATTTTTGATGAACCATAAATATTGTATCATTAGAGTGTAGAGAAATATTAAAGATATTTAAGCTTAATATTTAAGCTTAATTCTAGCAAGTGCCGAAGTTTTTCTGTCCAAACATGGCTATTAGTGAAGTACGTGATATTGATTGCACTGGGACGATAATGATGGAGACCGTTGATGGAAGTTTTGTCGAGATTCCCGAGCCTTCATCATATACTGGTAGACGACCAGTTCGAGTGCGAGTCTTATCATATTCACACCGTAAAGAAATGGTTCCTTAATTAATTTTTTTCATAAACACATCATTTGACAACTTTGTGTTGTTTTTGAGAATAAATTACTGGATATAATTTTTAATTTAGTCTTTTTTCCCATGTTACGGTGAAAATTATTTTAGAGTCAATCATATATTTCGCCTCAGAATTACTTAGGACACTGTTCACCACCATCACCATATCTCTTGTTACATTGTCATGGTGGAGGTTATGTTGCAACAACATCAAAATCGCATGAGGTTATTTCTTCATGTGCTCAATTTTTTAAAATTTTTATCTGCTTTTATGCGACATGCACATTTACCATGTAATTGTAGATCTATTTACGAACTTGGGCTAAACATCTTGATTGTTCGGTCTTGTCTATCGATTACTCGTTGGCTCCAGAAAATCCTTTTCCTCGTGCTATTGAAGAGGTTTTATACGCTTACGCTTATATTGTAAATAATTCATCGCAAATGGGTTTGTTACTCTTTATTTTTTTGTTTTTATTTGTTACTCTTTATTTGTTTTTTATCTTTAAGAATGAATTTTTTTCATTACAATTTTCTAATAAATTGCAATTTTTTGAGTATTTTTATTCCATTTCATTAATTTGTCAGACTGTTCACTTTTTTTCGAAGAAAGAAAAACAGGTAGACAAAAAGATTTGCCTATCTGTTAATTCGATTGGCGATTATCTCATCATGGCCTACAAATTTTATGAAGCATATTGGTTTATTTCTATACCATCACTATGAATTTATTGCAAGGATTTTATTTTAAAGTATAATTAAAATTAGAGATGAAAAATTTTTATTGTTCAGGTTGGACAGGGGAAAAAATTTGCATGGTTGGCGATTCGGCTGGCGGTAATCTCATAATGGCTTTAAATTTACGACTTATCCAGTTAAATATTAAGCGACTTCCGGATGGTCTTATTTCCATTTATACACCTTTCATTTTTCAGGTATGTGTTAATTTTTCATATGAAATGGAAAAGGATAGCTGAAATGAATAGCGTGGTTTTTTGTTTTTTTTTCGGATTTTGTTTTTTCGGTTTTTTATGAATATATATAATATATATACTATACTATACTATACTATATATATAGTATTGGGTGAAAGAAAAATTTCCTTGCTCTTCAGAAAGGTGCAATTTTTTAAAAGTTGTCAAATAAGATTGTTCTGAATTTATATGTGAAATATATTTTAAGTATTTTCCTTCTCCTTCTCGACTGCTCAGTTTTATGGATCCTCTTCTCCATGCGGGTATTGTCATACGATGTGTTGCTGGTTAGTGATTTATTTATTGATAATTTAATAAAACGCTTAAATAATTGGTCAGAAAAATTGGACAGAAAAAAGCTGCTAGAAATAAGATAATAGGTGAAATTTTAATAAAATTTTAATTCTTTTAATTTTCGACCTGAGAATTTTAACTTTTGTTGATTTTGGAAAAAAATTTTTTTTTGAATAGGTATAACTCTTATAATTTTAACTCTTCGAAATTTTAAATTGTTTCATTTTATTTTTTGCGGTCTGGAAAGTTTTCCTTAATTTTTTTTCATATTGTAATTTATGTTCCTTTTAACCTTCTTAAATTTGTTCCACGTAATGAAATAAAGAAATTTTATTTGAAATTTTATTTGTAACTGATTATTTAGCTTATACAAGTGGAGAATCTACCGATGATGGGGTGGATAACGCAACGAATAAGGAAAAACCCCATAAAAGCTTGCAAGATTACGTAAAAGAAGTTAAAAAAATTAGAAAAGAAGATGATTTCAATCTTGATGTTTGTTTTTTTATTTATGCTTAGCCGCTGGCTGTTCTTATTAAAAAGCAATTAAAGCATGATAGATGTATATTATTTATCCTAGGACCAGATTTGTGTCAATTTTTTTGTCAATTTGTTAAAATTTTCAGTTGGGCTTTAATATTCACTATTTTTCAATCATTTATAGAATTCCTCATATATATTTTCCTGTCTGTGTTTCATCGTTACTGTATTTTATTATAGAATTTTTAGAATTCTTCGATTATGTCTTTGATCAATTTAACACCAATTAACGAGCAAAGCATTAACAATGTTAAAACGACCATAGCAAAAGAGGAAAACGACGATTCCCGTTTGCGCGAAGAATTGAGTGATGACGAAGACGATCTTGAGCACGAGACTTCAATATCTTCTGTTCAAGTTTGTTATTTCAGAGATATCAGGCTGGAATTCAAGCTGGAGTCACAATCAGTCATTAAATTGATTTTTATATTCTTTGATATTCTTTATTTCTCTTTTCGTTTTTGATTTTTTCTTTGTGAAGTTAATCTTGTTTTTTAATTTTTATTTTAATTTTAGGTGAAGGCAGATTCTTCACAAATTCATCTTTTCTCAAATTCTTATGATCGTCGATTAATTGATTACCTCAAGCAACACTCTTTGACTAAAAAGTATATATTCAGTTGTTTTTATTTTCTAATTATTTTTTCAATAATTTATAAAAAATGTTTCTAAATGCTTTGAATCAAAACGTTATTGAAGTTCATTGGTTTTGGTTGGTCAAGGCGAAAAAAAAATTGATAGTGTTGATGAAACATCCCAACAACGATCTGAAGATTCAGCTAAACCTTTTATTCGCCGATCGCCGATGTTTTCAGTTTCTTTCCGACCTCTTTTATCGAACTCTACCACATCTTCACCAACCCATCCTTTACAACCAGCTGTCAGCACTTCTCGGAGCAATAATAATATAAAAGACAGCATTTCCGATACACCAGTTTGTCTTTTATTAAATATTGATATAAAGACCTATTTTTATTTTTTTTTGACGCAAAGGCCCAATTTTTATTTTAATTCATATTTATTTTATTTATTATTTTATTTTAAGATTTTGGTAGATTTGTTTGCAATGTAATAGAATATGCAGAAATTTTATATAATTTATTTATAATGAAGGCCGACATTGACATAAAATTGATTTTTTTTAGAAAAAAAATTTTTTAAAGGTGATCAAGCGAACACTGAGCCAAAGTTTGGCCGATACAGCTGTGCTCGCGGCTGGTCATGCGTTCGATAATATTTCCGATTGGATTGCGAAATCGACGTTCAGTGGCTCAACTGATCGAGTGAAATTAGATCGTGCCGCATCACTAAATCCAGTGAAATCGAGGAAGGTGGAATTTGATGTAAGAGTCTAATTTAGTTCTTTGTGGTTACAACTTATATTTTTTTCTTCTAAAAATGATCCTAAATTTATTTGAGGAAATAGCACATGGGGAAAAAAATTCATGCATAAAGAATCTATTGAGGGCGAAAATTCCAAGAAATCCGTTAATTTCTCCATTGTATGCAACTGCCGACGAATTAAGTCGTTTGCCACCCATATGGTTTGTGGTAAGTCTTTTATGAATTAGTTTTAGATATTCTTAATTTTCTTATTTATATGCTGAAATATGCTGATATTTTTTAAGGCTTGTCATATGGATCCTCTGCTTGATGATACAATTACATTTGCTCGTAGAGTAAGAGATTGTGGCGGAAAAGTCATGGCAGTTGATCTTTTAGACAATTTACCACATGGATTTCTAAATTTTACCTTGATATCTCCTGAATGTCGTGAAGGTGCAAAAATTTGTCTTAATCATATTAGAGAAGCTTTTGGTATGATATCTTAACGATAAGTGTTTCGATGATTTCTATGACTCTTTAAAACTTGTTTACCTTTACCTTTATTATTATTGTATACTTACCATAATTTATTATATAATTAATATAATTTTTGTTGTGATTTACAATAATTATAATAATTCTTATAGTAATTGTGACTTTATTCTTAAATGATCTAATTTGTAAAGCTGATTTTTGAAATTTATTTTTTTCTTAAATTTGTAAAAAAAAGCTATGAAGCTAAAAATGTGATAAAATAAATCGTTCACAATAAATCAACACGAATATTTCAAGATTATCAGAAAATTTAAAATGGCGTCACCGAAACCAGACCCGACTCGAAATATATTCAGGTGAATAATCGTGAGCGCCTAAATGCTCCAAATTATACCATTGTATTACTAGTAAATGTGCAGCGGAACTTGGTTCACATATTTTTTATAGTGTAGTTTTGAATCTATATTGTGGTGTAGAATTTGGAGCAAGTTCATCCTGCATAATTTGATAAATAAAAACCCTATAATGATAATGATGAACTAAAGCAAATATAATCTATCGTATGCACACCAGAATTTTTAATTTTTTTAAAATCAAGATGGCTACACCAAGATTTCTGAACTGCAATTGGTCTATTGGTCTGTTATCCTCAAATTGTTCAGAGATCGTCCAATATGATTTAATTTTCTTTCTAAAACTTATAATTTAGATTAAACTTACTGATATATCTATGATAAAATTTTATGATACGCTTCAAACGATGCAAAAAAAGTGAACACAACTGAAATTCAATGAAATCCAAATTATCAAATAAAATGCTTGCTTAATTTTAAGCAAAAAATTGAATAAAAATTTATAAAAATTTTATAAAAAATCAACTTAGTTAATAATTTCAGAGAATTTCAGAGAATATGCGAATTTCGCCATCGGCAAAAGAAACCGATTTAAATGAACGAAGATGGTGAAAGGATCGCAACGAATTTGGTTGGTTATTAACGCAAGTAAAGGCGTGTTTCGATTACAGTAATCGTTGAATATTTTCAAGTTAATATTATTTTAATCGTTCGTTTTGAATTTTTCATTTCTCGTTAATAGAGTTGTAATTTTTGGTTTTCAAAATAAAACTAATGAATCTTAAGAAAGAAACTGAAATTCATCAAACAAGTTGGTTTTTTTATTTATTTTTTCTTTTCAATTTTTAGTTGTTTTTCAATTTGTTTTAAAAATTTACTTAAAAATTGAAAAATTGAAAAGCGCAATAACGAATAATAATAATAATAATAATAATAACGATAACAATAGTGATAAATGGAAAAAAGAAATTCAAAAGAAGTATTTCATCACGCCTTTATATAATATTTTCAATATTTGCCTTAAGCATTTCCTGTACGGAAATCCGTCGAACGATCGATCATTTTATTCCGAGTATTTTTAGTATTTACCGCTCAACTATAGCGCTTTACTTCCTCTACATACATTATTATTATTACTACTTTTACGTAATATATATGCCAGGTTATATGGGCATTTTTTTTTAGAATAGTTATGTTTTTTAAAATTATATTTGTATTTATAATTATTGTATTTATAATCTCTAATTTATTTGCAAAAATTATCTTTTTATTCCCAATTGCTTGTTAAATAGAAATGGAATTCTAAAAATAGAATTTTTTTTTCCCCGTCGTGTCAAATCTTTCGTACACCATTTAGAAAGTACCATTTGGTTGAAGGAAAAAGAAAGAGAAATGGTCTCTCTGAAATATGTGTAGTTCTTTTAAAATTCTTAGTCGATTCCAATCAGAGAATTGAACCGATTAGAAGAATATGAAATTGCTGAGAGCTATTTAAGAAATAATTGGGTAAACCTATAATTTATTTCACAATTGTTTATAATCTATGAATTCTTTTTTTTTGTGGAAGTACTAACATCATAAAAAAGCATTTAATAGTGAATACTATTATTCAGATTTAAATCATAACTCTTACTAACATATCTGTGAAAAAAATAGTATACAAAGCCATATGAAAATAAAGATTTTTTATAAAAATTGTAAAAAATGACGAGTATAACAAATCAAAATAAAAGTTTATTGCAATGATGCCGAGTTTCCAAATTTATTTTAGACATATTTGGATTTTTTAAGAGTTTTTGCTGCATGCATGCATGCATGCATTGGCTACGGCCTCAATGTGCCTTTTTTTATTATTTGTTTTAATCGTTATTATTCATTTTATAGTCGGAGATGTTCATTCATTTTCCATATTAATTCTATTCACCAATTTTAAATGATTCCAATAATTTTTAAACGATAAAATGATTGGTGCATCAGAAGTTCAATGGAAATAATTGCCACGAAGAATCGAGGTTTTCGTGCGAATCCCGAATAACACACCACGTCGAAGAAAGGGGGAGGGAGTCATCTAATGAAGAAAACAAAAGGAGAGTAAAATGATTCAGCGCCGATTGCGATTTTTCTACTCTTAAGAGTAAATCTGCCCAAAAAACCTGTTGACCCAGAGAGCTCCTTGACATTTTCGCTTAACTTCGCTTAGCTTGACAAACCAACGAAGCAGGTGCAACCAGCAAGTGCTTATTAAAAAAAAAAAAAAGACTGCAATAATATTTGATTATTATTTATTAAGCTTTTTAAATACTAATATCTTCATTTTATAAAAACCTAGCTAAGCTATGTTTATTCAGATAAATATCTTTCAAATGGCGCTTACGATAATTTCTGGCAAAAATCAATTTGCAATTCAAATTTTGGAGAAAATGCATTAAATAATGATATTTTTAATAAAATATTGCCATCAGGTATGAATTAAAGATTTTTTAATTTAATTTTTAATTACTGCTGATTTTTTTCTCTGAAAAACTACAAAAATATGAGTGTTTTTATAAAATTCCATTTGTAAAAAGTTGTTTATCAGTTATCATTTATCATATCGTTTTCCTATCATCTTCAAATTTTATTAATTAATGGATATTGTTTAATGGTGATAGAATTTTTAAAGGAAATTTAGAATGTGCGAAGAAAATTCATCTTTATCTAATTCATTTTCTCCATCTTTAAATAATGAATGAAATAAATAATGAAAACAATTCATTATACAAAGATTATATCTAAATGATATTCCAGCCGATCTATTTTCGGAAAAATATTTTCAAAATGAATTTCGTGCTCATTAGTTTTTCAGCTATTATCAAAAAATTTTATAAATTTTTCGCGGAGAAAAAAGCTGCATTTAACGCTAAAATACCTATCTTGAATCTTTTGTGGATGTAAGGGGTTTCACCATAGCAGTTAGTGGAATCAGCTCAACTAGAAAACTAGTGAGCTGTGTTAGATAAGAAGGTCTGAAACAATTTTGAATGATAAATGCGATTTTTTCGATAAAGTTTGAAAAATATTCTAGCAAGAAAAATGAATTTTGCAATTCTTGTTGCATATTTTTCTATACGTACAACTTTAATTGACTAAAAGATATATGAAATAAGTTGTAATAAAGAAAGTTATTGGTTTGCTAGGATTATGTGCCAATCCATCAACGGTATATTATAAAAATTTATAAAACATCAATATCTTTCAAAAGCTCAAAGCTTAAAACATAATTATTTTTATTTCTTCTCATGGTCGAACTTAATGCATTCTTGATAATATAAAAATGGAATAAATGAAGCTCTTCGAAAAATTCGTATTTTTTCGCATTCGTAAAATTCAACGAATTTTATTGAAATTAGCTTTCCTTTGAAATATATTAATTTGCCAGCGTCACAATTGTATTTGTTAAATCCATAAAATTTCAATATTTGCAAATTATCCAAAAATTTCTGATTCATTTATTGTTATTATTTACCATTAATATCATTACTATTAAACATTATTATATAAAAATCTAATAGATGACAGCGAAATGTAATTTTGACGGATTAAATCACAATACGATAACTTAAACTTTTACTAATAGTTATTATTAAATTTTCATTAATTCACATCAGCTTTAAAATAAAATAAAAATAATAATAAATCAAAATAAAACAATCGAAATAAAATTTTAACGCCAATTAATTAAAACAAATAATAAAAATATTTAAATGTATTTATTATATATATTATATTTTTTTTATTATATTATATTATATATTATTATATATTTATTAATATTATATTAAACAATAAAAATAAACAAAATTATTTATAACAAATTCACAAATAATAGTAAGAATATTAAGAAATCAATGTTTAATTGGTTTTCCTGTTCATTTGCTTTCCATTGGCAATATGCAATTTACTTTACTTTAAGATTTTTAGTTTTGCTTTAAAGCAATTATTAATATTGCATTTTAGAATTAGCTTAATAAATTTTAGACAATTTCTTATATATTTATTAAGCTATTTTAAGAAAATTTTTTTTTCTTTTCATTAATTTTTCAGAAAATTTTTACATTTCACCTTAAAATTTTATTTTTCAAATGTAAATATCCCTTTTTATTCTATCAAACAAATTTATTTCGAATTTATTCCTAATGCATTTTAATTTATTTTAATACTAAAATTCAAAAAAAAACTTTTAATAATAAAATATTTATAATTTATAATTTAGGAATTTTTCACATATATTTTTTATATATAAATTATATTTTCAGCTAAAAAAATATAAAATATTTTAATTGCAAACTAATTATTCGAACAATTATTGATATAAATACTTGATAAGTTTACAATATAAAATAGAAATAAAAATTAAAAACAAATATTCACATTTGCTAAAACTTCTCATGGAAATGAAAATACTCTTGATGACTCCTCAGTAATATGAAATGTTTCTTATTGACAATTTTACTCGTAGTAGGGGAAAGTGGTGAACTTTTATGCTTGAAATGATAATCAAAGCAATGATTTTAATATTGAAATTTTTTAAGTTACTGGAAATATTTGTAAAACCTGGATTATATGCGCATTTATGAAAAATTTAACTTTTTTACCAATATTTTCACTAATTTTCTCACATTTTCGCTGGCTTTTTTACCTGCAGTGAATATTTTGTTCTCGTGCTTTTCAGTTATTTTTTAAATTTACGCGAAAAATATTTATTGAAATATTTATTGCAATATTTTATGCACAAAATAAAGAAAGAATGTGAATGGTTTTACTATTTACTATTTATTTTCTTAATGGGAATTCTCCCTGTTATATGCTCAAATGTATGGTACTGCATAGACAAAAACAATATTAAAAATATATTCTCTCTCTAAGTCTGTACGGGATTTTCCGAGGTGCAATTCTCTATCTTCAAATCAAGAAAATGTAGAAATAATTTATAGAAAAGCTGATTTTAATCGAATTATAATCACAAAATCTATGAGCCTAGTGATTGTGATTGTATAACCGAATAAATATTTATCATTTTTGATTTATATTCATTCCACTCACTAATATGATAATGAGAAATTGTTGACAACGAATTAAATTTAGAAGTACAGATAGAAGTACAGATCACCAAAGCCAATTATCAATGATAAGTTTATTCTGTACACGAATTAGAATCCAAATCCTGATGCCTCAAACGACAATCTGAGCGATTCTTAATCTCCACCGAGATAATAAATATGTAAATTGTACCTATAAATTGTTTGCAGGCAGTGGGCAAATCCAGCTCTGGCAATTTCTGCTCGAATTGCTTTCGGATTCGCAAAATTATGCTCATTGCATTGCCTGGGAAGGTAGTGGTGGCGAATTTAAGTTAATAGATCCAGATGAAGTTGCACGACGATGGGGAGAACGAAAAAGGTCTTATATAATTATATAATTATATAAAATATATAGGCAATGATAAGAATCAAGTGTGCAAAATTGATAAAGACCTATTGCCTTAAAATGGCGAAGCCTTGGTGATATAATAAAGTTATTATAAAAGAAAAATTTACAAAATTTATAAAAATGAAATATTTTTGAAATATGAAATGTTTCGCCAATGAAATAGAATACAGTGGATCGCTACTTTTTCTCTGCCAGCAACAATTATTTTTAACTTTGCGATTTTAAGAAGAGAGATAGGTTCGTTGGGCTAAAAAGATTCAAGGGATTGAAGTTGGTCATTGCCTAGACTGGATTCGCTGATTACACTGGTGAGATGCTTGAAATGTTTCTATTCGATTTAAAGTCATACCTAAGAGTGATAGAAGCCACTTTTTTCCTAATTTCTAAGCCTCATTCGAAGCCTCTTATGCTTCAAAATCTCTTAGTCCAAGTCTTAATTGACGCTGATCACTTTTGACAATATTTGGCGCTTGGCTGAGCAAGTAACCAGATATGCAAGATATTTTTTAACTCTTATGTCGAGAAGGACAGCATTGCTTTGTGATAATGTTTATGCAGATTATCGAAGGTGGAGTCATACGAGATTCTATTCACTCGACAGGCAAAAAGTGTATCTTGAGCATGAATGTTCAAAGGCAAATTACTGATATCCCACTCTCATCGGTATTCGCAATCATTATGAGTTTGGTGTCTCGAAAGGGACCAAAAAGGTCTAATCAAAAAGCGAAGTGCACAGTTGATATTTAAAGTAATTTATTCTAAGTAAATGGCCCACCGATCCTTTTGCATTTGACGTTGATCATTTTTGACAAAATTTGTTGTCAGGCTGAGCAAATAGCCAGACATGCAATTGGTAATGGTTTGTGTTTTCCTAGTTACTGAAGACGAAATGGGTTTTATTTAAATTACTCGCTGCATTTATCGATACTGAGTTTAACTTATGTTCATTACAATTCAGCATAACTGCTGGCAAAAAAGGATTTTATCATAAGCATTTTCAAGATCTGTAATATTAATATTATTATGTTGTTGACAGATTTGCATAGTTCTTGGATTTGTAATGTGATGTCCATAATCTGGTTTGCATAGTTCTTGTCTTGGATTTGTAATGTGATGTCCATAATCTGGTTTGCATAGTTCTTAGATTTGTAATGGGATTTCCACAATTTAGCCTATCGCAAATGAATATTTTAAATGAATTTTAAATATTAAATAGCTTTTTGCTTCCAAAATTTATATTTGAATAAAGTATATTAAGCAAACCGAATATGAATTACGACAAATTAAGCCGTGCACTTCGATATTATTACGACAAGAATATTATGTCCAAGGTGTTTTTTCTTCTTTTTTCTTTTGTGAAATTCTTTATTTTAAAATGCAGAAAATTTTTATACCATAAAAATGGTTGAAACTAAATTATATATTTGTAAGCATAAAAAATTATTATATGATTATAATATATATGTATGTATATATAATATAACGCCTGAATAGCGTAGTGGTTAAGGTGGTCGACTGATGGCGACTAATGCGTCAGTGGCCTGTGTCAGGATAATTGCATCACGAATCGAGGCTTTGATTCGAGTCTCTACTGGCGCATCATTCGAACACCAATATCGCATAACGGAGAAAAACAAAGGAAAATAGAATGGCTCAATGGATTGTTGCTTAGTTCGGAGCACTGGGGGTGAAATTCCATTCCCCGCGAGAGTAAAACTATTTAAAAATTCGAACGATGTTGGCGACTCACCTGTACTTCTCTATTAGGCTATAGTGCTATAGCGTGACAAACCAGACGAGCGAGTCTAACCAATAATGGTGAGTGAAAAAAAAAGAAAAAAAAGATGGGCGATAATATAGAATGCACCACTCTACTTTCCCAGTGGGACTACTTGGGCACCCTTGAGAAGCTCATCTGCATTATTGCAGAACTTTCTCTCTCAGGCCTCGGAGGACCAGAGGATGATGATATTTACACCACAAACAAGAAATAAAAAAGGGATTTTTTCATATTCTTACAATATTAAATCTCTAATCCAAATCCAATTTATCAGTTAATTTCAATTTTGTATGAAGTTTTGCGCTAGTTTTGAAAATTTCATGCAAAAATAATCTTATCAATTTTTGCATATCATTTATTTATTTACTAACTATAAGCTCCTATTTCGGTAGATTAAAGATTAAAAGACCATATAAATACAAGTGATTATATAAATGATAATGTAAAAAAAATTTTTCATCACGATAGATAGTAATATAGACGAAAAATTAAGTCTGCAGTTCTGATAAAAACTGGATAAATAGTTTTTGAGGGTATTTTTAAGAATATCGAATTAAAACGTTTCGGAATGTTATCATCAAATTATTTAAATATTACTAACGGTCAAATAATAAATAAAAAAAATATTATGCTTTTGCCCTAAAATTCTTAAAAGCTCATCGCTTTATAAAGCGAATGAATGAATCTTTATCATTCCATGAAAAAGAAAGAATTTCTAAATAATCACTAAGATCGTTATTAGTTCCGTTTGTAAGGACAACACTGCTATCGTCAATAATTATAATTCTTTAAAAGTGAATGTTCTAAACTTTGATTATTAATCTTTATTAATTATTATTAATCTTTATTAATTAACATTATTAATCTTTAATATATATTTTAAAAAAGAAATTTTTTTTTCTAAAAAAATTTAACATTTCTACTTGCTTATAATATACATTTAATTTCAGGTTCATGGAAAACGTTATGCATATAAATTTGATTTTCATGGACTTGCACAAGTTTGCCGAAATAGTTCTACAAACGAATTCTGTTCACCTGTTTCTGCATCGAATACAGCGCAACATTGTCAAACAGGCATGCGAATGCATGAATCTTGCAGTCTTATTTCTTTTTTTTGTTCACTCAATATTTCTATCATTCAAATAAACATATTACTGATTGAGATTCTTGTCTATTTTATGATAATAAATTTTTTTATCAAACTTGAAGAATGTAAAGTAAAAATAGTTTGTTATAAAATATTCTAAACTAACGTAATATGGGGTCATTTAGGATATTGAAAAATTTTTCAGGATATCCACCACATGAATTCTTTATTCACTATCATCAACAATCGGTACCGAGAATAATGTCAAATTCACTGACATATGGAACGTCGAATTGTTCGCTTAATGATCAAACTTCATGTTTTACTTCATGGTCGACGTCAGTTGCCAGTTCAAATTATTTTTCATCACATTGTGGTTGAACTATACATCTAATTGTTCTTTTTGAATAAATTCATGCCTTCCTTTTTTCATGAACGATTTTATTTTCATTATTTTCATTGTGCTATAATTTTGCTATAATGAAAAGAAGCGTTGGCGTTGATTATCGTATGGTGATTTTTTGAAAAGAAAAATAAAACTGCATAAAAATTTACTAAGATGATAAAGTGGTTTCATTGAGATATTTAATCAATTTGACCTGAAATGAACAAAATCTTTTTTTTGATAATCGTTTCAATACGGTTCTGCAATATTTTAATGGATTAATTTCAAAAAATGAAATTATTTCGTCATTCTAAAAATAAAGCCATTAAATAATAATAATATTAATAATAATATACCTTTTATTATAATATAATAATAATAAATGATAATAATAATATAATAAAAATCAGATTATGGATTTATACTGCTAAGATTGCAAATAATATTTCTATTCTATTAGCTAAATCCATTAACTCGTCAATATTAAAATCCTACAATAAATCTTATGGAAAAATGAAAATTATTGAATTATTATATGCAAATGCAAAGAGATAATATGATTAAATGTAAAGTATTTGTTATATTATAAAAAGTTTTTTCCATTAAATAATATTATAGGAATAAGTTATGTATAGGAAAAACTTTCAAAATTATCACTGATATGATTATCACTGATTTCAAAATTATCACTGATTAAAAATGTGAAAAATTATTATTATTCCAAAATGAACACCGAATAAATGAATTGAAATTTTAGGATTTTTTTTTCAAAATTCAATTTAATTATAATCTTTTAACATAAAATGCTGCCAAAGAAATAAAAATAGTTCCGGATAGCTCGTTATGTTCATTGATGAAAGACTAATCCTTTTGTTTATTTGTTAACGAAAGTATGAATGAATTTGCAATAGAAAAATATTTTTAACAGTTTTTACGCCGACCAAAATTATATTATACTTTTGATCTTTTCATATTTTTGATCCTTCAACTGATTTTAAAGAACAAATGAATTTCTCTTTCTAGTAATCCTCCTTTCCTTCCTTTCTTTTTTCCTAAAAATAATATTTTTAATTTCCCGACAAAAATAGCTAATGTTTTAATGTACTTTGATGCCTTATTTTTCTTAGCAATTTTATAATACTTTATTAAATTATGAAATTATTGAATTATTTTAAAAGAACGTTGATTAGTTCTTTTGGTGAATTTTTAAATTACTTTTTCAATTTTTGTAGAATTCGACTCAAATAAATTTTTAGTTTAAATTCTGAAAAATAATTTTTAACAGAAGAAAAACATGTTTGCTTATTATATAAATGTAAGCATAACGTACAACGGAATATTTACGAATAATTGAGCTTTTTGTGAATATTTCTATTACAGTTTTTCTGTACATAATAAAAATGATGCGAGATGAATATAAATTTTTATGGAAACTATTATATTTCAAATCTATGATTTTTAATAAATAATATTTAATGAATTAACATAATATATATAAATATAATAAAAATAAACACAATAAAAATAAACAAATGAAAATATATAATAAATAAATATTAATAAATATATACTCAGTAATAATAATAGTAATAATAATAATAATAATAATAAGTATAGCTTTGCACTGAAAAATTTCGAATTATTCCAAATTCACCTGTGCATTTTTTGAATTCATAACTCTTGGAGCAAATGTCGTTATATGCGAAAAATATAACCATTTATTATTACGATTGTTTTTAAAATTCTATCACATCAGATTTTAAATTTTATTAAATAATTCTGTTTACAAATTATGAGCAGCGACTTTGAATGAGCAATGATCATTCGTTGTTTTGCTAAATTTTGCTGAAATTTTCAGACAAACAACATCGTAAATATTTGCAAATTTTGTTATTTTTATTTCATGGTTAGAATATTTTATATACAAATTATTATTAAATTTGCAAAAAGAAAATTTTTGATCTTCGAAAAATTTTGTTTTATTCTCAGCGCAAAAATATATTTCGAATAATATGAATTTAAAAAAAAAAAATCTTTTTAAATTAATCCATTTTTTATTAAAATTTTGATATATTTTTTTACTCGAAAATATATGTTTTTATTTTTGAAAAAAATCTTTCATTTAGTTTTCATATTTGCAAATATTTTTCAAATATAATAGTGCATTTTTAATTAGTGCAAAAATTACTTAAAATATTTAAAATAATTTTTATTTCTCGAAAGTACATAGAAGAAAGTATAAAAGTATACTTTTTTGTTCACGAAATTTCAATTAAATAGAAGTGATTAAATGGATTTTTAATAAAATTATTTAAAAATCGACAAATGAAATAATTAAAGATATTTTAGAACATATAAATTTAATTGGAATGGATGAAATTGTTCAATTTTAATGCCAGTCCAGTATATAATTGTTATATGATTTTCTACACTATTGCATTCCAAAAATTGTTGAAAGGTTCGTCGCTTTCCTATTCTCAACGATCGATTCACTTTGGAAATTACCTAAATCAAAAAATCAAATCAAAAGTTTATTGTTTTGATAATTGTTATTTTGCATGATAATCATTTTGCATGATCATCATTTTTGTATATAAAATTTGAAATTTGTTTCACCATAATTCATCCATAAATTTTAATAAAATTTATCATTTTTTCCTCTTTTTATTTATTTAAAAATTTATTTATTTATTAAAATTTATTTATTTATTTGATTTTTTAAATTTTTTTTTTTCAAAACGATTGCTATTTTGTTTTTAAATTTTTTATATAAAATTTATATAGTTGATTAAAAAAGCGACAATTTAGTTTCGCTCTCAATAAATTTGCCTGCTTATAATCAGTGGTGTATCCGGTTTGCATACATCCGGTGGCATATCTACATTATATAATATTTCCTTGCAAAGATAAATAGGAAACTGCGCTTTGATCATATGTTCTATGTTAATTTTAATATTAATATTAGTGATTAGGGAATTTATGATTCCTCTCATATGCTACTATGCGTTGATTGCTAAAAAATTTATAAATATTATTTCGTTATATTCTTATTTAAATCCAACTAATCGATTTATATGAGAATTTCTTAAAAGAAATTTCGTCTGTTCGATTTGTTCCAATCATTTAGCAGAAATAATTTTTTTTTAATTTGATAAAAATCGATGTATTTTCAAATACCTTTTGAAATTCAGGTTAAAGACGATAGAGGGAAATTATCGTTGCAAAGAATGCCAAGAAGCTATTCAGAGTTTTCCTTTCTTTCCTTTCCTCTTCTAAGAGAGGAGGAAAGAGAGAGGAAAATTCCTTCTAAAAAAAAAAATTTTTTTCAACGAACAAAATTACATTTGTAATTAGTGGCTAAATGAAAAAAATGTGAATCAAAAAGCTAAGAAGTGGATGTACTTTAAGAAAAAAAATGCTTTATAAAAAATATTACTTTTTCAAATTTGAATTTTTTGCTTTTTTTTTAGAACTTTTAGAAAAAATTTTTAAAATTTAAATTTTAAATTAAGAATTAGGAAAAAATTGAAATTTTCACTCATAAATTTTTTAGAGGCAGAAAGTCAGATCAATTGTGGTAAACGACAAATAAATAATCGGTGAAAATTCTGAATTCATCATGAAGCGGTAATAAAATCAAAAAATTTTTTTTCATTCCCTGTAGGTAGTCATTTATGATCATCCTCTACCAGAGGCCTGGAAGATTGAGGGTATTGCGCTTTTCCGAATGTTATTCCTG